TCATATGGTTTTTTTTTATATATATATATATACTTGTTTGTTGTCTTGTGACTGATGCAAGTGGTTTTTTTTTAATCCATTTTCTTCTGTGTTTTCCTTTTTAAGCTGTGCAAGACGATATCCCTCGCAAGCCCTTACGTGGTTGTGAATTCTGGTTTGATTGCAGAACAGGTTCGACCGTGGATTGTGTGTTTTATGGTATAGTTAATTGCTGAATCTCTTTGAGAACAATTTGGTTTAAGTTTCCATGGTTTTTAGATGTTCTTGAAGAAAATTTCCAGAACGAGAGATATTGTGAGCTTGTGTGGCGGATACTGACCGAGAAGAAGAAGCAAGATGCTGAAATCAATGAGCTTGACAAGGATTCGGTTTCGCTTCGAAATGATATGGCTTCCTCTTCTGATTCGGTAAGAGACTGATTTTGATATGATTTTGCTGGAGATTCTCTGGCGATCTTATCTCTTTGTATTCACAGATTGATTATGAGTACTTTGTTATGTTGTTCAACAGGACAAGACCCTCAGTGACACAAGCTCTGCAAAATCGGCTCTCGATGAAGATGAAAACACCTCCAGTATCAGCGATGCTCAGACTATCGAGACAAAAGATTCCAGCAACGACACTCAAGTGATTGACCCAGACGCAAGATCAAAGCCTCAGGAGACAGCAGGAAATGCCCCAATAACAGTTGAGGTATGTAAAGATTTCTTCTTTGACTAAATCCCATCGCTTTTGTTTTTTCTTGTTCTAAAGAGCCAAAAGACGAGCAGCTCGGATGTGTTTTTAGTGAAATGCTGAATGATGTGACAGGTTGCAGAAGATGGAGAAACCTCTTGTAGCCCTGTGTTGGCAAGCAAGATTGACGAAGCTGAGGAACATTCTTGTTCATCCTTGGTTACTGACCAAGTGTTTGATCCTATAAAACAAGCACCCGACACCAAATCTCCATCTGCTATAAGCCTAGAGGATGTTGGAGGTTCCACTTTAAGGCCATTGGGTTTAGAGACCATAGAGAAGGTGAGTGAAATGTCAAATGCTGCAAACGAAGATGGAGATATACTGAAGGATCAGCAACAGCAGCAAATCAATAGCTTGGAAGACATTGAAACTGCTTCTGAACTTTTTACCACAGAGTCTCTCTTAGAAATGTGTGATGCACCGGAGATAGGCAGAGAAACCCCATGTGATGATAGAAGCAATAGATCACTGCCTGAAGCTGTGAAGACTGCTGTTAAAGACGAGCCCATCATCATGAACTTGCTTACCGAGGCAAGACAAAAGGCTGAGAGTAATGCATTGTTGAAGCCTGGGTCAGTCCTAATAAAGAAGAGACAGAACAAATCCAACCCCAGTGATAACAAAGGCATGAACACAAGTTTGATCAGGAACACTAAGCAGAAAGTAGGAGGTGAAGCTGTTAATATTGATCCAGTGAAGAACTCAACACAGTCAACACCTAAGATCATCAAGGGTCCAGCTGTTCCTGCACAACTGTCAGATTCAACGTTGGATTTGATAGAACGGATTAGACAAAGAGGTGGGCAGACGATGAGTGAACCAGTCACGTCAATAAGCGAGTTGAAGAGCAAGACAGGCAAGGAATTAAGAAGCATAGCCAAGGAGGTGAAAATGACACACTACTATAAGCTCAAGAAAGAAGATCTGCTTCAACAGTTAATCAGGCAGCTAAATTTGCAGCTAACCGATTGTACAAAGCAGATAATGGAGTCTTAACCGATCTCACTGGTATAGTTAACACTAGACATTACAGAACAGTCTGTTTTTTGAACTCGATGGTGCAACCATTAGCTTGTATAATCATACGGAGCTTGCTTGGCTTTTGGAGTGCGTTTCAGAATAGTCTAAAGTAGAATGCTTTTGGGGATATTGAAATAACTTGCTTAGTAGAAAATGGATTTTTTTCTTTCTTTTAGTAATCTATTTGAGCCATCTATTTGAGCCAGCAAAGCCTCATTGATCATAAAGAACATGATACAGTACAAAGGATAACAAGAATCCATTTTAAGACATGACACAAGTGAAACTACATCTTCCACTAGAGCTATAATGTTTAAACGCAGTAGTATCTGCAGATTGCAATCAGATCCAACAAGTTTGGATTATACAAAGCCATGACAGACTAATCAAGGCTGATCTAGAAGGGAAGGCCTGTAGAATGCATGGCTCTGTGCAATCTCAATACGGTCTCTCGGATCGTTTAATGTTTCGTCCCTTAACGCTTGCAGAATCGCTTGTGTTGATTGTTCTCTGCAAAATTCAGACACACAAAATTGAACAAATAGAATTGATTACAGAATCGAAGAAGCAAGTCTCTAACGATTCAGTGATGTCTCACAAAGTCCTAAACATTCATGAAAACTAGAAATCTGATTTCCCAACATGTCACACCACATCTGAACGTTCATATATACCTGGTGATGAGTATCTTGTAGAGTGTCTTCAAAATAGGACATGATTCAACCGGAGCTACAGGCTTCTTCTCTTCAGAGTGCAATATGCTTAGGCTAGATTGACTAAGCAACTGATAAAATGCTCCCACTGCAGAGACTCCCTGTTGAAACAAAAATCCAACATTCGCATAAGCATATTGATAGACACCAAAAGTTTCAAATTATTGTTCTCAGTTAAGATTCAGTACCTGAATCATTCCCTTCCCGCTTATACTATCACCCATGTCTCTATTTATTTCCCCTTTGGCCAGCATCTGACCGTACCACGCGTTACGCCCTTTTAACAAGGTCACATAAGTGTCAGCTAGCAAAGGCCCTGCAAGTTTCTCAGGTTCTTCTGCTAGCAAATGAGTTATAAATATCATCTCAGATGTACAATGAGCGAAATACACAGATTTGCTTGTAGCACTCTCGTTAGTAAGAGCTGCCACCATTCCTGAAAAAAACCAAACGGGGAAGGATCACGAGACGAGTTCATCAGTCAAAACCCTAGTGTACACGCAGAAGCTTACCAGCTCCAATGGCGTACACATTCTTGAGACCTCCCATAACTTCATGTGTCACAAGATCACTGTTGTCCCAAACAATGAAATGGGGTTGTCTTAAGAACTTTGCTAGTGGTTTCCTCCATTTCTCAGCTCCGCAGATCCTAGCATTAGCATATTCCTTGTTGTAAATCTCAGCGGCAATGTTCGGTCCACCAAGATACAACACATTTTCAATCGGCACACCAGCTACCACAAACACCAAAACCAATTCAAGAATGAGTTAACATTTCAAGAACTAAGCAAGATGTGTCAATACAAAGGGAAGGAGAGGAAGAAGCTTACTTGCTTGATGGATCATCTTTGTTGGAGTTATGATATGTGGAACAGGCTCAAGCGCAGTTTCAATACCTTTCGACAGAGATATAATAATCGGAACAGTGATCCTCTCTTTCCAATACTTGCTAATCTCTTCAAACACTTCACGCGTCTCCGTTGAAGGCAACCCATTAACGACGATATCAGCATCCCACACAGCTTCTTGCAGATTCGTCACAACCTTGAGAGGGCAAATGGGCGTGTCGACCATGTTAAGACAGAACCCGTCTTTCAGTATCTCATCCGCATAGAGCGTCCTATCACCGAGCCTTGCCTCGACGTATTTCAGATAAGCGCAGCGTCTTATCAGCCTCCTCAAGATATCTTCCCGAGAATTGATCACTTCGAACAAATGTTCAGCTGTTTCTCTATCAACAGCTCTCCCTGCTCTTCTCCATATCCTGATCTGAAACTTATCCCTGAAACTCCCATAGCTTTCTTGGAGAAGTGCTGCGAATACGCTTCCCCAAGCACCAGCTCCAACACTCACAATCCTCAACGGATCCTTGTCTGATTTCCCCAATAGACGACGAAAGTCATCAAGTTTCTCCTCCAGATTAAGACCATTGTGTTGAACAGACCCGTTTGACTGCAGGCTCTTGGCCTCAATGCTTCCCACCATATTTTAATCCAGAGCAAGAAATTTAACAAAAACCAAAGGCAATGAACAATGTCTATAAATGATTTTTTGGAGTTTATGTAATCCACTAGAAGTTAATATATGGGTTTGGATCATAAGGAGTAAAGGAATCAAGTGGGGCTTGAAAAGAAGAAGAAGAAGACCAACTTGGGCATTACCAATCAGCTTCTTGCTCAAAAAGAATTAAGATTTTCTTCGCTAACTCATATTTTCTCACCGAACAAATTGAGCTTTTTTGGGTGTGTTGTGTAGCTTCTTCTGCCATATAACAAAAGTGGAAATCAAAAACCAGACATTAATGCAATAGATTCCGAAAAAACCTTTAAATAGATAATGCTGCAACCTGACGAAATGCGGAGAAAAAAATCCAGAGAAAGATTATGGAATAAAATAAAGGAATTTTATTTGAAATTCAACACAACTTTGTTAGCTCCGTCTTGAGTTGTTCATCTACCCAATAAGAAAAAAGAAAAAGTTCGCAACCAAAATACAAGTCAAGAACAAACCTTTCGTGTCGGCAACCATAAAGAAAGTTATAAAATCCAAAATCAACTCATGAGGATTGCCAAATGAAGACAGAGAAAACGCATGAGGAGAAAGATTTTGGGTATTTTTTTATCTACTCACAAAAAAATCATAAAACTTGCATGCAAGAAAATGAAAATGATAAGACTTATAAACTAAATACAGAGCAAAGCTTTTGTGCAAGGGAGAGGAATGGACATTGATGGGTACAGTTGAGGAAAGGGAGAGACTTTTTATTTGATTTCATTTATTCTTGCTTATGGGTATTTAAGGGAAGGTGCCTAACTTCGGATACAGTCATTTAATGGCTCAACAAAAATACAATCTCATCCATTTTTTTTGTTCTGGTACTTGTCTTCGTCGTTTTCTCTTCTCTCTTTTTGGCGAACTTTTAGTTAGACCGAAACACAAACAAATATATTTATTTACACGTTAATAAATAAATGGGTCCGCCGCAAATAAGAAAATGATTTGATCACCTAACAAAATACACACTTTATCATGAAGTTGATTATCCGCAATCTTTTACTGTTTTACCCAATGTTCTAAAACTCGAAAGTATCCGGCTTTTAAACCAAATCGGTTCATGCAAAAACTCAACGTTTTCTCTTGTTTAGGTGTAGGGATGTCTACGCAGTTTATTAATTTATTTACCTCCATTTTTTACACATTGAGTGGTAATTTACTTGTCACGAATTATCTGTTTATCTTACAAAAACAAAACAAAAAAGCATAAACCAATCATTGTTTCGAGTACAGTTGGGCAGCACCTCCTCCGCCTTCAAAGACAAAAAATAAAGGTCCAGCTACACTGACACACACACGTTATACAGTTTTTCTTCTATTTAATGAAATCAAAAACCTCTGGTCGACAGAGAGGTTCTTGACTAAATCATCTGGACTTTATTACTCGGGTGGGCCTTGTAAGGCCTTCTCGAGATGGGCTAGAGATGGAAATATTTTAGTGGGCTCTGGTCTACTGTAGAAAACGATAAACCTCTCTCTCCTTCAATCATTTTTTCTTTACTTTCTTCTTCTTCATCGCTGCATCCGTACTTCCGCAATTTGCAGAGTGAGAGAGAGTGAGATAGAGAGAATGGAGACTGGGCTAAGCGAGATCGGAAGCACGAAGATGTTCGATGGCTTCAACAAAAGATACAAACACTACAGCTCGACACTCGAATGTTCCATGACTTTCTCCGTCTACTTCCCTCCTTCTGCCTCATCTTCCAAAAGGTTCCCTGTATGTGATCTTCCTTCATCTTCTTACTATCTTGATCTCAGTTTCTCACTTTTAGTTCTTTCGATTCATGTTCGTATATAAAGATTTGATTTTTTCTACAGTAAATATAGGATTCATCTATGTTGATGGGGGAACCTTTCAGCTCTATCTCGATTCTTTGTTTGGATTTCATGGTCTCTAGGAAGTAAAATTTAGTTTTGCATGAGTGCTTTTGGATTCTTTATTGCCTTGATTTCGTTGTGATGACAAAATCATGCTACTCAAAAAATCACTGATTGGGCTTTATAGACAAATGATTCTCACACTTTGTTGATCGACAGGTGCTTTACTGGCTTTCTGGCCTCACATGCACGGACGAGAACTTCATCATCAAATCCGGGGCTCAACGTGCTGCTTCTACTCACGGCATTGCTCTTGTTGCTCCAGATACTTCTCCAAGTGAGCCACTGTATTATTCATCTGTTTGATTCTCCTTGGTTTTACTCTGGTTCATCATCTTCCCTTGATGTTTAAACAAACAAAAAGTTTTATAATGTCTTTGCGTTTTCACCTGATTTGTATTTTTAATACTCTCTAATCGTTTTGATACTATAGGAGGTCTAAATATTGAAGGGGAAGCAGACAGTTACGACTTAGGTGTAGGTACGCAACGTTACATGCCTCTGATTTTCATTCCACTCACTTTCTGAAAAAGTTGTAGCTTTGGACTTATTGGTTCGGTCTTAAAAGTATTCAGGCCATTCTTGCAGTGAAGGGTGATGAACATTTGTGTTTTCTTTCCTGTTTTGAATTTTAACTAGGAGCTGGATTCTACCTAAATGCTACTCAGGAAAAGTGGAAGAACTGGCGTATGTATGACTATGTTGTCAAAGAGTTGCCAAAAATCCTGAGTGAAAACTTTTCTCAGCTTGACACAGCGAGTGCTTCCATCTCTGGACACTCCATGGGTGGACATGGAGCTCTTACTATCTACTTGAAGAACCTCGATAAGTACAAGGTACTAATTTCAGTATTTTTCTGTGCTTCTGTGCTGTAAGACATATGTGACTTTCCTTGTGACACTCCAGTATTGATCATTCCTTCTTAATCGTGAATCTCTTCGTATGCGTGTCACTTTCAGTCCGTGTCTGCGTTTGCACCAATTGCGAATCCCATAAATTGCGCCTGGGGGCAGAAGGCATTCACCAATTATCTAGGTGACGACAAGGCTGCTTGGGAGGTAAAAAGAGCCTTACAAGATTGATTCAGTATCCATGTAGCCGCCACACTAGATTGATTTCATTCTCTGCCTTTGAATCTCAGGAATACGACGCCACTTGTCTTATCTCAAAGTTCAACAATCTGTCTGCCACAATACTAATTGATCAGGTAAAACCACTTTTACACCATGGTCTTCTTCGTCTGCATCCCCATGTGAACCAAAACACACACTGCTTCGTCAAGTTATTATGCTTAAAGTTCGTCAAACTGAATCCAATGCAGGGAGAAAACGACCAGTTCTTCCCTGATCAGTTATTGCCCAGCAAGTTCGAGGAGGCGTGCAAGAAAGTGAATGCGCCGCTCCTACTGCGTCTGCAGCCAGGATACGACCACTCCTACTACTTTATTGCCACTTTCATCGAAGACCACATCAGCCACCATGCTCAAGCCCATAAGCTCTAGCTCTCACTTCAGCTGCTTGGCAACCAGCTTTGTCCAAATATTAGTACCAATCAATAAAGCAAGTGGACTTGTGATGTTTTGTGCTCAATAACTCTTCTGTGTGATGTTCAATAATAAAAAAGCCGTCTTTGCTTCATCTCCAGTTCCAGGTTCTGTAGCTCCTCAATTTCTGTTAACAGAAAAGCAAAACTTGAGAAGAGAAGACACTGCCATACAAATTTGTAATTTGATGTATAAAAAAAGTGTGGGGGTAAAATTAAATTTTAATGAAAAACTTGGTTAAATGTATAAATAAAAAGGTGCTGCAAAAAAAACCTAATTTCGAATTTTGTCATCGTCGTTCTCTTTGAAACTTCGTCGTCTCTGCCGTTTTTAGCGATCAACGGACGTTTTTTTTTCTTCCACTGAGAGATTGTGAGGATGACGGAAAGCAAAGAGAACTATGATCTGAACCCTCTCGTCGCGCCGAATCTGGATAGACACCTCGTGTTTCCTATGCTTGAGTTCCTTCAGGAGCGTCAGCGTTATCCTGATGAGCAGATCCTCAAGTTCAAGATCGAGCTTTTGAACAAGACGAACATGGTCGATTACGCCATGGATATTCACAAAAGCCTCTACAACACTAAAGAAGATCCCGAAGGTGCCTTACTCTCCCCTCTGTAGCCAATCAATGTTCTCTGGAATTTCGCTTGACTGTTCAACTGAAGAATGTGGCTTTTGGTTTTGTTAGATATGGTGGCGAGGAGAACGGAAGTGGTGGCTAGGCTCAAATCTCTGGAGGAAGCAGCTGCTCCACTCGTGTCTTTCCTTCTAAACGCCAATGCAGTGAAGGAGCTGAGGTCTGACAAGCAGTACAATCTCCAGATGCTGAAAGAGCGATATCAGGTTTGGTTTTTTCTTGCTTGATTTTGCTATTTCGTATAGTCTCCACAAAAGTTTGGGTTTTTCAGATGTATGCATGTTTCTCTGTTTTGTGAATATGCCCCCGGGAACGCTAATTGCAGTTTCCGGTACAAAGTTGAGGTTCAAGAGTGTACATTGAGTTAACGTAACTGACATTTGTTTTGACAGATTGGTGCGGACCAGATTGAAGCTTTGTATCAGTATGCCAAGTTCCAGTTTGAATGTGGGAACTATTCTGGAGCTTCTGATTATCTTTACCAGTATCGAACCCTTTGCTCCGACAGTGAAAGAAGTCTGAATGCTTTGTGGGGAAAGCTCGCATCTGAAATATTGATGCAGAAGTGGGACACTGCACTTGAAGAGCTCAACCGTCTGAAAGAAATTATTGACTCAAAGGTCTCTTTTTCAAAGTTTTTTTTCCTATATTTTACTTGCTTGCGTCTCTCTCTCTTAAGGCTTCTTCATAGATGCGAGTGTGTTCTAATCCATCATTTTGTTTTTCAGAGTTTTGCATCTCCACTAAATCAGGTGCAGAGCAGGATATGGTTGATGCACTGGGGTCTCTTTATCTTCTTTAACCATGATAACGGGAGGACACAAATCATTGACCTTTTCATGCAAGACAAGTGAGTATTACCTTTTTTGTTCCTCTGTGCCAATTCTTTCTGTCTTGTATCCTTTTGAATTCATTTCTACACTGTGAAAGTAACATCATAATTAGAAGTTCTATATTATTCGCCAACATCTGTGCTTCTACCTTTTTATTTCATATAAGTCTCCATCCATATGACTCTTAGGTGTAAACTAGACATGTAATGACACTTTTACGTGCATCTCTCTGATTAGTTTCGAGCAGCATGATCTGAGTAAGTTCCATGAAGTTAGGCAAAGTGTGTGACAGGCTGTGTTTGTGTGTAAAACAATTCATTAGTCATTACTTAAGTAGCAGTTCACTAATCAGAGAATTGGCTCTATTCTTTTTCTACCTTTTATTTGGATTCTAAATTCCGTATTGTAGTTTACTGAAATTGATCTTTTTGTTTTCCATTTTGTTCCTCAGTTCAATCATGCAATGTGGATACTAACTCTTTTTTTAAAAAAAAAAAAAATATATATATATATAGGTATCTGAATGTCATACAAACAAGTGCTCCTCACCTGCTGCGTTACTTGGCAACTGCTTTTATAGTCAACAAAAGGAGAAGGCCTCAGCTGAAAGAATTCATCAAGGTTATTCAGCAAGAGCACTACTCTTACAAGGATCCCATAATTGAGTTCCTGGCCTGTGTCTTTGTCAAGTATGACTTTGATGGAGCTCAAAAGAAGATGAAAGAGTGTGAAGAGGTAAAACAGCCTTAACTTGTATGTTTTTTTTTGTGCCTGAATTTGGTTGCAGAGCCGTATATTCAAACTCTTTACATGTTGAAACGATATAGGTCATCGTGAATGATCCATTCCTTGGCAAACGAATCGAGGATGGGAACTTTTCAACGGTACCACTGAAGGATGAGTTTCTTGAGAATGCTCGTCTCTTTATCTTTGAGACATACTGCACAATCCATCAGCGAATCTACATGGCGTAAGTGAGCACGTACAGTTTGTTGTCTCACAACTGCTACTAATTCATAATCCTTATGCCCTTAACGAGGATCTTATGGCATTGGCAGGGTTTTAGCCGAGAAACTGAATCTGAGCAATGAGGAAGCTGAGAGATGGATTGTGAACCTTGTTCGAACCTCAAAGCTCGATGCCAAGATTGATTCCGAGTCTGGAACTGTTATCATGGAGCCAAGTCAACCCAACGTGTACGAAATACAGCCTTCAAATTCTCATTGATCTTTACATCTTAAAAATATAAAAAAACAATCTAAGCGTTTTAACTCTTACGATGCAGGCATGAGCAGTTGATAAACCACAGCAAAGCATTGTCTGGAGGTACTTACAAGTTAGTTAACCAGGTCTTAGAACATACCCAGGCGCAAGATGCTCGATGATCATTTTTTTTGCTTTTCAACATCATGATGTCCATTTTTGCTCTGAAATTTACTACTGTAGTTTTTGAACATTCTTCTTTTTCATCTTCACAAGTTTATACAGTATATTGAACTGGAGCATTCTCAAATCTCCAAATTTTGCTCGAGCTCCCAAAAACATGCTCATGGCTTTTTCACATGCTGGGTTTTTAAAGACCAAATTAGCGTCATGTGATTTGGCTCGTAAGCTTCCATGATCTATATCATATAAATAATAACCAAAGAACAAAACTTAAAGTTTAAGCCAAACATTCTATTGGATTTTGTTGTTATCACAAATTAGGTTTTTCATTTCTTTGATCTTTTGGATGTGTTACAAAAAAGCACAATCCGCAAACGCAAACATTTGTTTAGTTACAACGCGTAAATGTGTCACTATAGGGTTATGCCACCAAGAAAAAAATACGCCTTCTACCACCAAGAAGCCGTGTTTCGGTATGTCCTCTCGCTTTGCCTCCAGTATCGACCGCTTGGACTTGTGTGACATGGAGAGCTACTTGCTTCTGCAGCCTTTCTGCTTCTGTAGCTTTCTCTCGATGCCCTCGCTTTCCTAATTTCTTCCTCAAGTTCATAATCCGACCTCTGTTATCACAACAACCTCATTAGTAACGTTTTCATACAGCAGAGAGATTCTATTCCTAGTAAGAAATCGCTGTGAGAAAGCAGACCTTAGTTGGGTCAGAAAGAACTGAATATGCCTCTCCAATCATCTTGAAGAGCCTATCTGCACCCTTGTGAACCTCTTCTAAGATCTCCTTCAACCAGGGTCCTTCGCTTTCGCTTTGGACAAGAATCTGTGCAGCCTGAATAACCACACCAAAGAGGAAATATCAGGTTCATGTACAATAATGATTTGAAACATTGTCATCACGTAAAGCATAATGATTACCTTGTCAGGGTGATGTCTAAGAGCTGCCTTGCGGTATGCCTTTTTGATATCAGCAGCAGAGTCAGATGCCTTCACTCCCCTGGAAATTAGCAAAACGAGAATAGAAGATTGCATGAACAATTGTATTGGAATTATAAAAAATATAATACTAAATCCTAGTCTTGTCTAACATGAATGGTATAATTCACTGCGACAAGTGAGCTTACATGATGAGGAAAAAATCCAGAGGAATGCTTTCTTTAGTTTTTTCTTCCATCAGAGACAACCGTTGACGGGCCTGCCTTAGTTCTTTCCTGCTGCTTGCACGATCAGCAGATGTCTCTGACGTTTTCGTCTTCCCATCATTTTGCTTTACGAGAATGCTGATAAGCCTCTGGAGATCACTAGCTGCTTGATCATAATCTCTAATCATCTCATGTAGTGTGGCTCTCCTGGAAACTGCCTGAAAATGGAAAGACAAATAGGGTTGGATTTTTTACATGAACCCTCATTCCAAGAAAATGATGGTTACATACTTGCATTTCAAGAAAATAGATATTGCATACTCTTTGACTAAAAAATATTACTATCCATCTCAGATCTTAGAAAAAATCTTGGGAGAAGCTGTATAGTAGAGTGTACCTTTGTGTAGTTTTCATCAAGAGCCATGGCAAGACTACAGTCGGCAATTGCATCGGCAAACTGGCTTAAGGCCTGATTAGCAGCCGCACGATTGCAAAAACAAATTGCTGCAAAAGGGCGTGAGTCAACATTTCTTGATAGTGCAGCAGTATACTGCTCTACTGCTTCCATGTACTTTCCTGCCCGAACAGCATCATTACCTGCGTTCTGCAATCACAGGGAAAAAAAAAACTGGTAAATGTAACCAACGTAAAAAAAAATCAGCAAGCAAGATGAAGGATTGATCAGAACTGTTAATGTTAAAGACAACCTCATACCACACAAAAATATGAAGAATCTCTTAGTTTAATTATAGAGCATACCTTGTAACGTAAAAGTTCAGAAATGGTGGCCACTAAAGAAGCTGGTGAGTCACGAGACTCCTCCTGATTCCTAGCGAGCAAAACATAGATTTTCAGCAAGGATCACAAGTAAGTTAAAACACGCATACCAATAAGTTCATTATTGCACACAGCATAGACAAAGTGATTACTCGTTGCGGCTAGATCCCCCTTGCTGTAACTTTCCTAATACATCAAGGGCCATCTCAAGGTTTCCCAAGTAGAAGTGCGACTTGGAAATCATGTTCCATCTCCAAACTACTAGTGAGTGATGCTTAGACCCTAATCCATCAACATTCGTCATGCCACCAAGCCCTGCTGAAACCGAATTACTCTCAGCCCTCTGAAGAGTATTCTCACAAAGCTCAATCACCTCTTTATACTGTCGGATCTGCAAAATTGACATGGAACGTCAAGCTCAGTGAAAGCATATTTACTTTGAGAACTGAACTACAAAGACGACTTACCATTAACAGGGCCTCCGCCTTCATTTGAAGCAGTTTATCTGAGCAAGAACTAATTGACAAGGCATTTGCAATTGGAACCAATGCATCAGATGCGCCATCAGGTGTTCTCTTCTCCAAAAGTATGGATGCACAGTTGGTATAGTCAGCTACCCTCTGCAGGTAAGTAAAATAAACAAGTGTTCAATTAGACATTAACAGAACTCTGTGCTGATTCAGCGAGGTTTTGCCCGAACATACATCTGATATATGACATCCGGCTCCAAACTGATATAGAATAAAATTATTTTGATTAGACCATGGTAGAACAATGATCTAGCTGAGGAGAGAATGCATACTTGAGCCTGTTGTAAACCTTCAGCTGATTCTATAGTAGCTCGTCGATCCAGGCAGACACTAGAGGCGGATTCCATGCATTTATTAAAATACTGCACTGCTGATCCAAGTTCCCCCAGCACAAGATGACAGCTAAAGCAAACATAAAAGAAAAAAAATTGAATAAATCAAAAGATATAATTCATATGAATCACAACAAAACAACTATCCGGAAAAGTACGCCTTAAGCTTACTTTGCAGCTCTCATATACGCTTTAATATAGCTTGGATCAAGTGAAGCAGCCATCTCACAGTCGCTTATAGCCTCCCTCAATCTTCCAAGAGAGATTCTTACTGCCGCGCGGTTGCCATAGCAAAGCGCCAGAGGCTTCACAGAGTGTTCTGAATTATCACTTGACGGGGAGGAATTAATACCATGTGTGTAACATTCCTCAGCTTTACACATATTACCATTTCTGTAGGCTTGATTTCCCCTGACACAAAACATTATTTCTCTCAACTCTCAGAAAGTAAGTATTCAAAAAGCGCCAATGTTGGAACTCTTGAGATAGTATATGATACCTTAGTCGCCAAACCTCACATACATCAGGCATCGCAGATGTAGAGCCTGACTCCTGTTTAGCTTGACCTGTATTCACAGGTTGATTCTCTTGATTGTTTCGCATGGTGGCATTAAGTTTGTTCTTCGAAAAAATGTTATTAACTTTCCTCTTATATTTCCTTACAGCTTCAAGCTTCTTATTTGGTATTTTCCCCTGAGAGCTGGACGCTGAGAAAGAAAATTGCGGCATACCACTACTTCCATGATCCTCTGCTGTAGAGAGAGATGGATCCCTGGCTGAGGAATTCACATGTTCTCTCGAATGTGAGGGATCATTTGATGTCTGAGGAGTTTCTGTCGGAAATTGATTGCTGGCTTTCTCACCCTCGTAAGGAGAAAAGTCCATGGGTGAGCCAACTCCAGGTCCAGGGGAACCGAATTTCTCTTGTGACTTAGTTCCCTCAGAAGCCTGATCGCTGCATTGATTCGGCTCGTGCTGTTTCATATGTTCCTTGACTTTCTTTGATCTCTTGTCCTTGGATAAACGATTTCTTCGCGCATGTACTGGATTCCTACTCACTTCTGGAAACAGACTGTTCTTAAGCACAGAAGGATCCCATTGGGGTGCTTTGAAATCGTCAAAGGATGTTCTTGTATTAAAGGTGGTGCTTGTGAAGTTGTTTACGTTGGTGGTATCAGAATGAGAAGTAGGTCTTGTATCCGCTGCATTATCACTTAGGTGAAAACCATTGAAACTAAAAGACCATGGCCCTGGCTTTGCCGCACCTTTACATCCAGCATCAGCTTTTCCAGAGCTACCAAAGACAAATGCAGGTGCGTTACTGGATTTGCTCGCTTCCTCGTAGCTGTTGCCATCATGAACTCTGGTATCACTGAGATTAAGCTTCTTCATCTCAGCACGCAGGTTAAACTCAGAATCATCCATAGTCTCACCATTAGCATTTCGCACACTGTTAGACTTTCCACAAGTATCAGAACAACAAGACGTACTTTCTGATGTATTCCTGTCTATGTCATTCTGTCCTAGAAAAACCTCCTCAGACGCAGCCAAAGATGTGCTTTTATTACACTGTCTGATGTTCTCCGGATTATCATCACCTAAAGGTGTGCTAAATTCCTCCTCATCAGACGACGAAGCTACTGGGGCATTAGCTTCTGCACCAGAACCGTTACCATAAGCCCCAAAGACAAAATGTTTATCGCCATCGTTTTTAATTTTCACACTGTTCAAGTTAAGACTACCTACAGAAACAATTCAAAAAAACAAAACCCATAAGCTCACGGAAGAATCAGAAACATGAATCTGTAAGGAAATCAAATACGGCAGAAATGTGAGAAACACAGTTTTTACTTTTACATGGCGGCGCAAAGGGATTGAAACCAGGTAGGATCTCGTCGGGAGGAGAGGCTCCTTTCACTTTTCTACCGTTCTTCCTGAGTTTGACCAGCCTCGGCTTCTGTCGAGTCTTGGTCTTTTGTCCTGAGCCAGCTTCGAACTCGAAGTGGATTCCATCTCCGAAACCGGGTTCTGTAGAGGAAGGGTCCATGCTTCGTTGATCGCGAGAGTGAACACTCTCAGGGAAAAATGCAAAGAATATATCGGTGGGGTTTCGGAAAGAAGGGATCGTTTCAACAGGCGACCCAATCTCCACAGCCGGAGGAGACATCTCCAGATATTCGATTACTTTTCAAAAAATCAAAACTGAAATTTAGGGATTTAGGAAAAGAATCTCTCGGGAAAACGCAAATCTCCTTTGCGTGCTGAGGTGAAAGCAGAGGAATGAATGTATAGAGTAAGTGTTAGGGTTTTTGGGATTTGTTGTGAAGAAGAGGAAAAAAACAAATAAAAACTTGCTTCGCCATTTACAGGAGCGCCTCCTGCTTGACTGCTTCGCCTGACCGCCTCCGGGAAAAATAATTAATTAAAAGAAATAATAATATCTATATGTTCACACGTGTGTGTATTAACTTCACACGTGAGAAACCAAGTGAAATTTTGAAAAGAAAAGCTTATATATAATTCTCGGGGCCTATTCATGGCGGAAGGGCGCCAAAAAGTGAATCATGATTGTGGCTGATGATACAAAACAAGATGTGTCCGAATCTGTTTCACTGTAAAATTTGTTGTTGTTTTTTTTTTTTCCAGAAAGAAAACAAAACACAAAAACAAAAGAATATCAATCCTCTTGCTGCCTAGCTGAGCCGTTACAAAAGGACATATGAGGAAACTTATACGTTTTGCGATTTATACAGTTCTTCGTTCTGATTGTAAACTTTGATGTTTTTTTTTCTTTTTGGGACTTAGAGAAGTTGGATTGGAGATAACTGTGTAGCCTTTTGGAAAATCCTCTGCCCAGGTGCTAGAATCGCCAGAGGATCGTACTCGTGTTTCCTCTTTGCAAATGTTTCCCATCGGTTCCCAAAATGTGATCTCCACTCTTGTTGCGTTTCATAGTGAGGCAAATACTGCTTCGCGTTGATGTTTGCCTCTGCACAGAAATCAAGAACTCTTTGGTTCTGTTTCAAAAGGTACTCTAAATCGTTCTTCACTGCAGAAGGAAGAAAGGCCACCAGATAGAAGATATCTTCCTTTGGAGTTATCATAGATGTACGTTTCTTCCACCTGCAACAACAAATGGTTATTAGTAATTTTATTTTTTTCAGAACTAATCACTATTTGCTTTTGGCTATTTCTTGGTGACTTACTTAGATTGATTGACCGGATAAATAAGGATAGGTCCGTTGTTGTTGCTTGTGAGGATGTTGTTGAAAACTTCAGTAGCAAAGTCAAAGATACGGCTCTTGGGAATCAAGAGATTCAGCCATGGATGTGGTACTTCCCATAAACCCTTTGCTCTCAGTTTTATCTCAGCGATATGCACGCGATCCAGAAACTCGATATATGGCACTTCAGATGTGAACAGAGTGGATCTAATATAGTTCAGTTCTGAAAGCAACTTCTTGGTTTCCTGCAGAGCACAACCATTCCTGCTATTTTTAGAAACCCCAACAGTTTTATCTAAGAGAGTGTCGAGTCTGATGATTATATTGCTGCTTTACCTGATACATAGAGTTAGCTTCTTCTGTGTTGAAATATTTTGCTACTTCTAGACAATACAGAGTTTTCCCATCTGTTTTGAAACGGCTTGCCTCTGTGGAATCGTTGGGGCTGAAGGAAGATCTCCAGTTATTTAGGAGGTCTGTTCTATTGATTATCACAAATCCTTCCACGTAATCGAAACCATTCTCCTTCGATATCAAATGTTCTTGGTCCCTTGAAAACGCAGACAAGTCTGAATACAGTACCCTGATCCATTTAACCTATTGAAAAAAAAAAACATTTCACTTTGTGTCAGGATGAAACTTAGTAGGACTATTTTACATAGCCATGCTCAAGATGAAACCTTTACCATAAGCGGTGCTGGTCCAAGAGCGATCCGTGCCCGTGTGATTACACCAAACTGTCCAAGCCCACCAAGAACACTGTAGAAAAGTTCAGAGTTCCTCTTCTCAGAACAGCTCACTACTTCTCCTTTCCCTGATTCAATATGTCAAAATATATATAGATTGTTGTTTATCTAACTTTTATTTGCTGCAAAGCTACAAGTGTGCGTTGCATGTTTGCACATTGGCGACTACACACTCTCTATTTAAAGTACCTGTGACAATCTCTAGCTTGTAGACGTTGTTGATTTGAGGTCCATACTTGAAGGCTTGACCGCTGATTCCAGCGTTAGAAAGAGTACCTCCAACGGTAAGATGAAGGTAGTCTGTCCAGGACCTTGGAGAAAGACCGTGTTTTAGAGTCTCTCGTAGAATGTTGATCCATAGTTCACCACCTGAGACATCCACATACGGTTTCTTCCCCTTGTGAATCTTGATGTCAGGACTTCTAAGCGACTCCATGTTGATGACAACGCCTTGATGAGCTAGAGCTTGTCCTTGAAGGGAGTGACCATGGCCTCTGGCTGCTACTGTAAGGTTTGAGGAGGATCCCAGATGTACTACATGCCTCACCATTGATGAAATATCAGAGACTGACATCGGATGAAGAATCGCCAAAGGTGGTAAACGGTATCTGTTGCCAAAGTCCCTGGACGCATTGTGGACATCGTCGAAGCTTATGTAACCTTCCAAATCTAGTGAGACTAGTGAGGAACGAATATCTGAAGGATTCGAAGGAGGTAAATCTATTGGGGTACTAACAGAGTGATTGGAACAAAGATTGGTTCTACCTGGTATACAGCTTAGAACCAAGATCATGAAGATTCTAAGGAAAGTCTTGTTATATCTTCTACGGAACCGTAAGGATGAGATCAGTCCCATTTCTTGAGAGAAATTGAAAAAGACTGAGAGATATTGAGGGGAAGTAGTAGAGGTAAACTTGAGGTTTAGAGCACTCTCAAGGAAAAAAAAGAGGAAGAGAGTGGAATTTAAAGGAAAGTTTTTGGGCGGTACAGTCATATACTTGTGTTCACTATATACTTTTTTGTCTCTTGCTGTAAATTAAGATATTCTTTGTTACAAATTTTGTTTTTGTTATGCATAATTTATAGGAAGTAAGTTACTAAAAAAAGAATTTTTTTTTTTTTTTGATGTCAGGTTAACAATACACATCTCCGGTACGTAGGTTATCTCCCTGCCAAGACTTTTTTGCATAAAAAAGGTAATAAAAATTTGTTTTACTGCATAGTTTTTTCTTCTTGGCTTTGCTTACTGGCAGAGCATGTACAGTAGGGCCCCTACTTGGGTCTCATGGTACTTGAGCTCAGTTTGAGGGAAGAGAATCTTGCCCACCAGTTTAGTGACCTCATTGGATCATGCTTATTGGACCATTTTTTGCATCACTTTATCTTGTCAGTTCTTGCAGTTTTATGAGTTTTGACTATTAAGCTTGGAACTAAGTTAATTACCCCCTTAGGACCAAACATCAACATTGTCTACTTACTAATATTCCATGTTGCAGAGCTGTCTCAAACACATCATGTGAATTCTTAGGAGAAATACAATAATCTTGTTGCATATAATTGTTTCGGTGCTATTGATCATGTGTATCTTCTTCTCTTGCCATAAGAAAGCAAAAGTCCTACTACATCTTTGTATGTTGTGTTCCTCATTAAAGATTCTAAAACTTTCTATCAGCATGACATATTGAAGTGGGCATATAAAAGATTGTGTAGGCTTCTGTTCTTATTGGTGGTCCTGAAATAAATACCATCGTCATGATTTTTTCCTTCACGAGTAGTTGGAGGTGATATAATGTGCTCTTTGCTCAGAAATTATATCATAAAGAAAGTAAAAAAAAAAAGGACAGTTCAAAGAGAGATAAATAGTAAAAATTAATACCTTTGTTGGTACGTGCAATAAAGATAATGTATGTACATGTTTGTGTCTTGCAATAACGTCATGTTCTTTCTGTTGTGTGATTGAAAGCTGTAGGGGCCTTTGCTTACACAGTCGGGAAATATGGAAGCAAAGGCTGAAGAAGATTGTAATGTGGGCAGTCGAGTGACAGTTTGAACAAAGGAGGCACCTCGAATAAATGGCCTATATAAGTAAAATAGCTATTGATTTTTGAATAGGAGGTGTTGAAATTTTAGACTGATATATATTATTGGTTCATCTTTTACTTTTTAGTAATATCAAGTGGCATCCAACAGATATAGTCGTAGGATATAATGACTCAACGAGTCTATGAAGCAAAAAGTTTACAGTGACCAATAATGTCAATAGATTTGCAGTGAATAACTACCCTTCGTCGTGTATCTGTCTTATGTGACCTTTGTGTGCAATGAAAACCAATAAGCATTATTATTAATCCTTTTTCTGCTTCTCTTTAATCTTTTTTCATAATGTAGTGTTTTACATTCTATTTTCTTTTTGCTTTACTCTATTTTTTTATAATTTCATGATTACATTGTCCCAATTAATAGGGGCATTGGCTAAACTCACCTTTGTTTTTTTCGCAATCGTAGCTCACAATACTTTGGTCGCTCTAGTGGACAAATACACAGCCTTTCTTCTCTATTTAGACTTAGACTTATGCATAACAAAGAGCATTTTAGTCTAGTGGCACAAAACAATTCCCTCTCTTCAACTTAAACCGGTCAGTATCTTGAATATAATCGATAATTTTTTCCGGTTAATATGGATTGATGTATCTCCTATTTCTTGTTATAGAGGATCAATGCATTATCATCAAGAACAGCATGAATTTCAGTAGACCCCAAGTGAGTCCCTTTCCGTACAGCAACATTATTGACATTCTATCAATTTAGTGGCACAAAGTTGTTGGTTTTTTCTTTGTAAAGGTTTTTTGTTCTGTGGGTGAATTCTTTTTAGTTGTTTATTTCAGCCTTGTCGAGTTTTTGCAGGTCTCAACGTAGTGTCACTTTCCACTCAAAAGTTTTCATTTATATTTCTTTCTTAAAAATAATAATTTCAGAGGTAAATCGCCGTGAAGATTGCAATAACAAGATATATTTAGTTGAGTATTAAGACTGTTTAAATGGCATCATGATGCGCACAATATTTGATATTAAACCACCACCATTGCCGCAAAAATAAGGTTAGAATCCACAAACGTATTTTTTAATCATTGCTCTATGTGATACATGAATCTCTATTTTTCATCTTCTTCTTTTTTTGTCATTTACAAAAATAAAAACATAAACCGAATATTTACACCATGATAGATAATTAGATATTTCAAAAATTTCCAGGGAGAGAAATAGAGAGAAATGGTCCCAAGATAGAATGTCGAGGTGGTGATTGTGGAGTTGGGCTCATTGGCTAGTTCGTTGACAATTAGGTTTCTATTGTCTTCAATTATTATAGAGATACCTTTTTTCTGCAGTGATGGGTTATTTTCTTTCTTTCGTTCAGAAAAACTATGTCTTCTTTCTCTTCCAATTTTTCCTTTTATAAGTTTTATTTTTTATTTACCCATTGTAGTAGACCCTATGGGGTTCCATTTCATCATCACCAAGTAAATTCAGTATTTTATTTCTATTTTTATTTGGTTTTGGTTAATCAATGCAAGTTAATCCTCCAAGCAGATCTTCAAGATGTGTTTTTTTTTTACCTATACATAAAGTTGTCTATTTACTATTTAGGGTAAGAAAACAAATTAGGGGTCTATTTAGGGAATAGAACAAATTCGCTTGTCTATTAATGAATGTGTTCCAGCCTATTATAATTTACCTCAAAATGTTCATAACTTTCACTATATATAACTTTTCTTTTCAACTTTCTTTTTCAAGTTGTATAGTACATCCAAATGGTTGGATTCATTATTAAAAAAAAAATATATAATTTGATTTGAATATCAAAGAGTTGAGTCTCATTGGCCAAACCTTCCTTAAGTTTGTGTTTATATGAGAAACAACAAAACTTCAAAAAATATAACTATTAAACATAAACCATATTCAGTAAACAGAAAAATGCGTATTGAAATAATTGAACCTCTGTTTTGTTAGTATCCTATCATGATATTATTTCAACCAAGCCAACAAACTTTATTAATCCAAAGTTTGTGAGGGTGTTTTATTTAAACATATATAGGTGATAGGTATGATTCGTTTTTTTAATGCTGTTATCACTGTATAACCTTAGCCCCATAGGAGTAATCAACAACAACTATACTGCACATAAGCTTTTTTCTGAACGCGAGAACCATTCATTAAGATTTGTTAAACGATCATTTATTTATAGTATATATATAAACATACCACTTGTCCTTGTCTTCTTAATAAGATATTCAAGGCAAGCAAAAAAAACTATAGCATTTAATTGTTTTGTTAGAGGATCAGGAAACCAAAAGAAGACCAATTTTGTGAACAAAAAGAAAGTTTTTATATATTAATAATCATTTATGTGGTTTACGCGCAAAGCACCACCATATTATACATCTAATCACCTTTTTCTCTTGTCTTGTGGAAGATTTGGTTCTTGTATTATGTTTATGTATGAAAGAAAGTATCTTCATATCAACATTTTATAGGGCTATGAATCCAATCTCCAAGCGTGGATCCCAATGAAATACATGGTTCTGATGCACGTTCATTTATAGACTATATAATCCACGATCTATAACGTTCTTGTGATGGTTTATGACATCACAGTAAAAAAAATACTATAAGTAACTACTATATTGTATATCATATACGGACTAGTTGTTAGTGCTTTAAAACCCAATCTTATATACAAGAACACCATAACCTATTCTTCTATACAAGAAAACCAAATCTTTTATACTACAGTATTGATTATTTATCATGAAATAACTCTACGCGTAATTAATTTGCTAAAAACTCATAATTCTTGTAGCTAGTTTGAAAGTCATGTCTAACACAACACACAAGGGATATAAGCTTTGAATGCAGCATAAAATGATAATATACCGAAATAGTTCTTCATAATTATTACTAATTAAATTAAATATCAATTATCTACTCGACATATTTTAAAAGATTTATTTTATTTAGTTGAATCTTCTTGTCTATATAACTTTTCATTCATCATATACTAAATTGTTTACACAATTAAGCTATCAAACTATTCATAAGTGCAAAGCTTAATCGTTATCATACATATCTAGCCAATGGTTAAATGCATGATCAATTCCAAAACATATACACCACGATAAACGGTTCAACTTATAATAAAATGCATGCTCAATCATTTAGATTAAAGGCTTTATTTTGCGTGTAATACTTTATTAGGAAGAGATCCATGTTTTTTTAAAAAGGTACGTTGCTTAAGATCTCTAAAAATTGTTTTACAATATACGTGCCTATCTAAAATTAAATTTATTGTTTTAGCTTAGTGTTCCGTATGTTTTCTTTTCTAAACATGGAAGCGAACTAGAAAAATAAGATTGTTGGTTTGTCAAAAGCATGATGAGACAAACAAACCCCATTCTTCATCTTATTATGTTTTTTTTTTCTTCCATTTAGGAACTGCACGTATTTGGATCCGAAGAGATTAAATTTCAATGATAAGTTGGCATAATTCCTTCCTAAATCATATTATGTGGTCGGGATTGAAAACTTTATGGGCTCCATCTTGAAATTTTATAGTGGTTAGACTTGTGAAAAAAAAAAAACTTAATATAGTATCCTGCAAAATTATAAGTGTACTAGTTCATCTTTCATAGACATCAAATGGTTGTAGTCTATTGGTTTAATTACTTTAGTCAAACTCAATAGATATATACACCAACTTTTATTTTGTTTAGTACATAATTGACATATATAATAGATTTCAAAATTACTTTAGATTTTAACCCAAAAAATTAATAAAGACTAAAGAGAGAACTTTGACATTTGGCCTTGAAGGGGTACATATGAAAACAACAGTTGAGTTCATGTGGCAGACACTTTCCCTTTCACTAGTTTGAATTTTTGATGCAAAGAGAAAAAAAAAGGTTTGAATAGGAAATGAAGCATAAGGCCAAATGATCCCTTAGGTTCATGACAATGACTATCTTCAGCACGCGCAGCTTCAAGATTTGAGAAACCCTTACATCAATAAGAAAGCTACATCTCTACAGAGAAACACCATTAGAGAGTCTCCTGCAACAACTCAGGAACTGTTTTCAATGTGTTAGAGAGTAAATCAATTCGTGACACAAATCAGTCTTCTCTGGACCACGATTGAGTAATATGGAGAAAGATAAGGATTTGCATAAAGTTTGTAGCACAATCATTATTAGAGGCATAATGTTACACCCCATAAAACTTGTTTTGTCTATAGTTAAGGTCAAGAAACTATTAAATTAGACTAAAAAAATAGAATATAAACAATGATCATATGTGAACGAATAATTCAAAGCTGAGCCTGTGTGTTAGTGGGCACAAATGATAACAGTAAAAATTGAGGAAATAATATAAAAGGGAATAATAATTACCTCGTAGAACAATTTCTGAATGAGTAGGGACACTTTAGAAGATATGTTTTGAGTGATTTTCTGAAACTAAAGAGAAATAAATGAGGCAAAATTGATAAACAAGATTCAAAGTATAGAGCAATTGTGTTATTTAAGTTCAATGAACTAGTAAGTCTTTGAAATCTAATATTAGAATGAAGGTAAATCTTTCAAAACAATGACTGATCAAAGCATCAAGTCCCAAGTATTTCAAACGATAGTGACAAGTGAGTTATTGTCTGTTGAGGGTTATATAACATAGAAAGAAAAAAAAAAGGGTTATCTTCAAGCTATCTTCACGTGGTAAGTGGAGCCAAGTCCTCACCCACTGCACTAGATAGAAAGTAAGTAACTAACATGAGTAAGAAAAGGACTTGAGATAACGCGAAAAGACATCTAAAAGACTTGGAAATTGAGCAGACAAAGTCTTGGAACCAGAAGAAGAAGAAGAGGAAGCATCAAAGTCTATCTCAATGGCTGAGCTTCAAACAAAGTGGAACCACTTTAGGGGAAAACAAAGTCACGAGCCATATGCAGTAAAAGAGGACCCCTCCTCTAAGCCATGTCTCGGCTTGCGCCACGTGTATCCTAATATGACATTGGTAGGATTAATATCTTGAATCTCAGACTGACTCATTTGACTGATAGATACCACTCACCAAAAAACTAACTATAACGTATGAGAAAAAGATTGTGGGGTTGGCCAACTTTTGAGACATCAGAAGAAACTCTCACTGTGGAAAAAAAAAGTGTGACTGAGAGTAAAAGAGGAGCAGTAAGGTTTCTAAAGCCTGAAATTGCGACTTTTTTGTATGTCACGTTTCAGATTTCTGTTGGGATATTGCCCGAATTAGCTACTCTACTGATACATGGTAGAGAGGCTAAAAATGCATTGTTCAATGTCATGCTTGCGTAGGTGAACCATAAGTCTATTTGAAAACAATTATAACTAAACTCCAAATTTGCAAAAACGTTAGATTTAGTACAATATTAATCAGTTGAATTCTGAACGCTCAAAAGTAAACAAATTTCAAAAACTACCACGGAGGAGTTTTTCAAGAAGTGTATAGTTTCAATTGTCTAAAGAATGATCAATAAGCACAAAGTTTTCATAGACAAAAGAAACATATTTGATAAACAGTCTTGTGCACGTGATGATCTCGCCATTGTAATAGCCAGAGATGGCCCGTTCTAAGTATATCAAATTGTATGCTTGAATGGATTTCGTTGCAAAGATCCATTGATACAAATTTACAGATAAAAAGTAGTGATTACAGAATATATTTGGTTCCTTTAAACAGAAAATGAAACATCGCCTGCTTGATATTGACACAATAGCACAAACAATGAGGTCTCTCTCAAATTCTATAAAACGGGAAATGTACTTGGTTCCTTCCAAGATCAATGATTAGGCTGTACGTATCATGAATTTTGAAATTCCAGCTTTCTTTAAAACGCATTCTGATTTCGGTTAGGTTTTTCCATGCTGGGCTTAGCTTTATAAATCATCAGAAGAAATAAAGCCCATTGTAAAAGGGCCCAATATGGACCGTCCCGTTTCATAAAATTGTTAAAAGTTAATTTTCCCAAAGCTAAATCGTAAGCTTATTATACATTCTGCGTCTCACTTCTTTCTTCTTCGTTCCGCTGCTGCTATTCCTCTGGAGAGGTAAGAACTTTCCTTCGAGAATCTCTCTGATTTTGTTTTCTCAGGAAAACACTTTTTTTTAACCATCGAGTTTTTGATTAGGTTATGGGTTTTCTCTCAGGAAAGACGGAGCTTGAGCAACTGTCAAGTCTATTTCGTGTTTCGGAGTCGCGAAGAGAGTAGCGAGATTCGGAGATTTCGCCAATTTCTGGTAAGTTTCGATCCCAGCTTCGACGTATCTGCTGAAAACTTTGATTTCCTTTGATTCCTTTTTCCTAAGATTACAAAACTCTATGATCCCACGAATGCTTGATACTTTGACTGTTAGCTGTTTGACAAAATTCCCAAGAGAGCACTGACTTTGATTTTTTTAGAATAAAGCTACTCATACCAATTTTATCTCGTAGCAACTCTTTCTTGTTTGATAATGCATCGAATATACAAGGCATAGAGAGCTTATCTGGAATTTTCTTTGTTTCCAGGGTGGGTTTTGTCTACATTGCTGCTTGCTTAGGTTGTGCTTTCTTTTCCGGGAGATTTAAGGAAACATGGAACCCAACAAAGAAGATAATGTTTCATCAGTTCCTATAACTCAAATCACAGCAGCTCCAATTCTACAAGATGCAGGTAAATTATCAGTTTTTAAAGTGATTGTTACACCTAAGATTTACTCTATGATCCTTAACTCTAGTTGTTTTTGATTCACCTTTACTATTAACTGCAGGCGTCTCTGCCATACAACCTCCTCCTTTTGCCCCACCAATGGCACCGATACCAATGGTTCCACATCCTCCACTAGCCCGCCCTCCTCCTCCTTTTAGGCCACCTGTTTCACAAAACGGTGGAGCAAAAACCGCGGACTCAGACTCGGGATCAGAGGATGAACAATATATAATATCCGAAGGGAGTAAGCAGGCCAGAGAGAGACAAGAAAAGGCACTGCAAGATTTGCTGTTAAAGCGTCGTGCCGCTGCTATGGCAGTTCCAACAAATGACAAAGCTGTTAGGGATCGCCTTAGACGACTTGGGGAGCCCATTACTCTATTTGGAGAACAGGAGATGGAGAGGAGATCTAGGTTGGCTGAACTTATGGCTAGGCTTGATGGCGATGACCAGTTGGATAAACTGTGTAGAGCTCACGAAGAAGATGCGGCTCCAAAGGAGGAAGCGGATGATGATATACCTGAATACCCTTTTTTCACCGAGGGTCCAAAGGAGCTTAGAGAGGCTAGAATCGATATTGCCAAATTTTCTATCAAGAGAGCTGCTGTCAGGATTCAGCGTGCAAAGCGGCGAAGGGATGATCCAGATGAAGATGTGGATGCAGAGACTAAGTGGGCTTTAAAGCATGCTAAAGGCATGGTCCTTGATTGCAGTAATTTTGGGGATGATCGTCCTCTTACCGGCTGCTCCTTCTCACGCGATGGGAAAATACTTGCCACATGGTATATCTCTCATCTCTTTCTCACTCATATTTTCCACATCCTGTTTCTTAGGCTTGGAGCTATCTTTGCTCGTCTCTGTTTATTGATTAGAGTAACCTGTATATTGCATTTTACCTGCTTATTCGCTTCCATTGATACATCAGTAGAGAAGTATCCTATAATAATCCTGTCCTTGAACACCGAACCTGTTGAATTTCCTCAGTTTCTTACACGGTTTCACCTGTATTAGACCATGAAGTTAGTTAGGCCTATAGTTTTAACTTATAAATAGCATACTCCATGTCTATTGCATTTGTCCCTTCTAACTGCATTACACATTCTCTAGGTTCATGACTTGTGTGATTCACATAATTCCTCTTCTTTCTACTAATTCGTGGTTGTTTTTTTTTTGCTAGTTCTCTGAGTGGAGTTACTAAAATGTGGGAGATGCCTCAAGTTACAAACAAGATTGCTGTCTTGAAGGATCACAAAGAACGTGCAACCGATGTGGTGTTCTCCCCTGTGGATGATTGTCTAGCAACGGCTTCTGCTGATCGAACTGCAAAGCTGTGGAAAACTGATGGAACACTCCTACAAACTTTTGAAGGTCATTTGGATCGTCTTGCACGTATCGCCTTCCACCCATCAGGGAAGTATCTCGGAACAACAAGCTATGACAAAACATGGAGATTGTGGGATGTTAACACTGGAGCAGAGCTGCTTCTGCAAGAAGGTCATAGCCGTGGTGTCTATGGAATCGCATTTCAACAAGATGGAGCATTAGCAGCTTCTTCTGGGCATGATTCACTCGCACGGGTTTGGGATCTCCGCACTGGTAGGAGTATTCTCGTCTTCCAAGGACACATCAAACCGGTAAGGCTCAATTTTTGTTCTCTTGGTCTTCTTCTTCAGGTATAAGTGATCGTTGACTAACCCTTATTTTAATTTACTATGTTGCTTCTCCAGGTTCTCTCTGTAAATTTCTCTCCTAATGGTTATCACTTGGCGTCTGGTGGCGAGGATAATCAGTGCCGCATATGGGATCTTAGAATGAGGAAGTCGTTGTACATCATACCAGCTCATGCCAACCTTGTCTCTCAAGTGAAGTACGAGCCACAAGAAGGCTACTTCCTAGCCACTGCCTCTTACGACATGAAAGTCAATGTAAGTACTTCTCTTTTACAATCTTCTCTTTCATTTGCTAAATAGTCTGTTTCCACTTTTTCTAACATTTTGTTGTTATAACAGATATGGTCAGGCAGAGATTTCTCGCTTGTGAAAAGCTTAGCAGGGCACGAGTCAAAAGTGGCTTCTCTGGATATCACTGCAGATAGCTCCTGTATCGCAACTGTGTCACATGACCGTACCATCAAGCTTTGGACAAGCAGTAGCAACGAAGACGACCAAGGCGGAGAAACAATGGACATTGATCTCTAGTTCCTTTTATTCATCATATTTGCTCGAGAGAAAACAACTTGGAATCGTGGGATTTAGAGATTAGCTTGTTTGTGAGAAATCTTCAAAATGGTATTAATTTGTAATCTTTTTGGGGAATTTTCAGACTCGGGATGATGATGATACATTGTCTTCGCAAAATTTGCCGTAACGTTCAAGAAAAAGCAAATGTCTGTACTTTGTTTCCTTGAGATACTTGACAGTGAAACTATGTTAACAAAAAAGAATTTATAGATTAGATTGTACAAGGAACTAAAGTAATGTTCTATATGTGTGAATTGTCTGAAGAGCAGAGAGAGACTGGATCCTCTAAATACTCTTCTTCAGGTTACACAGATTTATTTGTACCAACCAGCAAGAAAGTGTCGAAGCATGAAACAGAAGGCGCACGCTAGAGCCTGTAGTAGAAACAAAACATAGCATCACAAAACCAGTATCGATTAAATCCATTATGGAAAAATGGTGATAAACATTTAACTGAGAACTACCTGGAAAACGAGAAGATGGATGCAAAGAGACTTTTCTGATTTAGGACCAAATAACCTCAAGTAAACGTTGACTAGTGTCCCATCTTTTGTTCCGGTCAATAATCCGGTTGCAGTATCAAACCTGGTCATTCCAAAAGACAAGATGAGTGATATGTCTGTTGTTTAATCAATCTACAAACGGTAAGAACACAAAGATGGTTACCTCGGGAGACGATGGCGGGGACATTTCACAATGCCAGCAAGCTGAAGAGTTATATATAGTATGTTAGACGGTTGAAACATGAGTTCACAAGAGATTGTAAGTAAGCCGGAGAAGAGTGTAATTAGATATGAACCTGGGGAAGCGACAATAGAAAGTTCAGAACTTGAGGAAGAAAGAAGATGAGGAGTGTTTCACTGCAAACGCAAAATTTCAGAAGAGAAACATGGCATGGGGATCAGTCATACAATAGCTGGACATGTGATGCAAATGATGAATCTGAGCAAGAAGTATAAGAAACATGTACTATGATATATTTAAAAGAAGGCTGATTGTTCTCATGTAATAGTGAAGTCTCTCATAATATTCTGGAAGTGTATACCTGAAGTGACCCAGAATGCCAACAACTGCCATAGTCATTCCGGCAAAGACTGTGTAAGTGTCTCCAACAAAAACTGAAGAAGGATACCTAACAACATAAGTTGGCAAAAACTGGTCAGAAAAAGCATTACTTGAACCAAAAGAAGAAGAAAAAGGTTTATAAGAGAAAAATTTGTGAAGGATGTAATTACCAATTGTAAGCAAGCAATGCTAAGGATGTTGCCATGAGCGGTTGAGTAAGAAATATGGAAAAGGCGTGAGCTTGGTGATACTCGGGATCAGTAGATGATCCGATTTGCATAACGTTGTGTATCAAAATCTACAAGTAACTCTGGAATACATCATATCTCAACCCAAAAAAGGAACAGACAGAGAAGTAAATTCAGAGACATGATTTATGACCATAGGACTTACAGCAGCGGCGGTAACAACTGTTTGACCAATTTCAAGGCCATTCAAACCAGCGTGAATGTTGATAGAGTTTGTGCAGAAGACGGCAAGTAACCCCATATATAACTTATATATCCGTCCTGCAACATCGAAACATCCATTGAGCTAACCATGATCACATTTACCTTCTCCAAAAATACAATCTTGGAAGCTAACAGATGAGTGTAACATGTACAAGAGTCAGTACCTAGATCAAGCACTTCTAAGCCAACATAAGCAACAAGAGGTTTCGGTATGACAATAGTTGTATGTCCAGCGTAAGCCATCAATAGTGGAAGGGTAGCGAAAGATGGCAGGACAAGTTTCCTGTTGTTTAAATTTGACAAGAGAGAAGAACATGTGAAAATCAAATTGACGACGTGTGTGGATTTCATCAAAAACAAAAATAATAATATAAAAACTTGAAACTTACACTCTCCAAGGCACATCAAGGACATCATCTACAAATCCAAGCAAAATCATGAAGCAAATAGATGCAAGTGCTGCGTTATACTCCACAAGCCACTGAACAGAATCATCAGCCAGATTCAGGAACATTGATTAAGGAGAATCAGCAGCTTGAGAACAGATAGATACACACTTACATTCGAATCTTCAGTGAAATTGAAATACTGAAATATGATCGCCACGATCAAGAAGACAACACCAACAACAATACCCAACGATTCAGGCCTGAGAAGAAACAAGAGGAAATGTAGCAAAAATCCTGATAATAATTTAAAGCTGATCACACAGATGGATCGAGACTTTACACTTTAATTTCTCCTTGAGGTGTTCCCTTTTTGTTGATATCAAAACCAAACATGTTACGCCTGAGAACGTATCTGGCAGCGACAGGGATCATCTTGAGTGTGACGAAGAACCCAGCCAAGCTAAGCCCGGCGTTAATGAGGATCGAGCGCCTGAGCTCGTTTTCAACCTTGTAATGAAAACAGAGAAGGTATAGATAGAGCGAGCACAGAAGAGAAGAGATCACGAAGATCACTCCCAATTTCGGCGGCGCAAGTCGGAATTCCTCACCGGAAGCATTCCGGGTCATCTTCTGCTCCGACGGCGCTGCGTTGGGTCCTGACGGATCCGGTTTACTGGGAATCGACACTGAAGAAGCTCTCTTCCGAGCTGCCATGGCGGATCCGTTTCGCTCGAATTCGTTTTTCCCCGCCTCTGGATTTTGCTTCCAAACCCGTTTTGCTGAGAGTATTGACATCAAAGTCCTTTTAGGCGTCACAGAGACCAATAGAGCTTTGCCACTTCACAGTAATACGACACCGTGTCATCCAAGTAGGATTTCAAGTATTTTGAATTATTTGAATTAGTCAACTCCAAATTTGTTGAAAGGTAAAATCATAAATAAGCTCTCTAGTTATATAATTAGCACCGTCAAATCTTACATGGTTTACCATAATTACACGAAATTACATCAACAACAAAATCCACATTACGTAAAGAACAACCAAAAAAAACATTTGGACCAAATTCAATCAAGTAAAAAGGTACTGTCTCGCGCATGCAATTTATGTTAATCATAGAGGTGTGTGTAATAGTACAAACAAGAGGAGATGAACGAACTGAGATTTGAGAGGAGATGATTATGCTTTTTTTTTTAAATCCTTTTTCACTTTTAGTACTATCGAATATCTCGGTTTTTCTTTTACATTAGATCTCGATTGTTCGATTCCTTTTTTAGTAAATAGAAAAAAAAGAAAGGTTAGGATTGAGATTTGAGATGAAAACTACAAGAGAGGCTGATGTGAACGGGAAAAAATAGTGACGGCTTACGTCAGTATTAAGTTGTGAACACGTTTGTATATTTCATGGATTACTAAAGTTGGAGGAGTGAATGTGATACAAGAAACTTTAACAAGTATAAAGCAAACGAATCACATAAATATTTTGAAAGGACGTTTTTGAAAACAAAACTGATTTCTAAGCGTACGTTAATTCGCACGAAACTCGTATACATCACATGATAAATTTCCAAATAAAATTATATGAAAATTAATAACCCACTATTTCATCATAGTGGCAACCAAGTGTATATACCAACACAAATAAATAAATAAACAAATAAAAAATAGGAAAAAAAAGGGCACTATCTGTCCCCACGCGGTTCCATTGAGATTTGAGACAAGAGCATGCATATTATATGTATGTGTGTGACTATATATATAAGCTGGTTCTTGAACATTATATGTTAAATTGATCTCACACACATATATATAAAAGGAGTGAGTTAGAAAAATGGGAGTGCACTTAGGAAATTATTGTTATGTGTTGATAATAGTGTTGGTGTTGGGAAAAGAAGTGAGAAGCCAGTCGTTAACAAATGGTTATTATTCAACTTCATGTCCAAAAGCTGAGTCGATAGTAAGATCTACCGTTGAATCTCACTTTGATTCTGATCCCTCAATTTCTCCTGGCTTGCTTAGGCTTCACTTTCATGACTGTTTCGTTCAGGTTCCAGTTCTTCTTTAATCTCAGTCTCGTTTTGATCAAATTATACAAGTTAATTAATTGATTGTTGATGAATTTGACCTATATTTTACATGATTACTAGGGTTGTGATGGGTCGGTTTTAATCAAAGGGAAATCTGCGGAGCAAGCCGCTCTAGCGAATGGAGGTCTAAGAGGGTTCGAAGTGATAGATGATGCGAAAGCCAGGCTCGAGTCGGAGTGTCCTGGAGTTGTATCCTGTGCAGATATACTTGCACTCGCTGCTCGTGACGCTGTTGACTTGGTACGCAAGTTACTAAACCTAAAAAGAGGTTTACTTATCCATTCCTTTGGTTGATTTGAACTGATATCAGCTTGGGTTTCGTATGGAAACAGAGCTCTGGGCCAAGCTGGCGAGTTCCAACGGGTCGTAAAGACGGGAGAATCTCGTTGGCATCGGAAGCATCGAATCTACCTTCGCCACTTGACTCTGTTGCTGTTCAAAAGCAAAAGTTTCAAGCTAAAGGCTTGGATACTCATGATCTCGTTACTCTACTCGGTATGTTTATTTATTCATCTCCCTATCTTTTATTTTCTTTTAATTATTTATATTCTACTTGATAGTACTAGAGATAAAAAATAAAAAAAAAACTTGAGTAATTTCTTTTCAAAAGATAATTAATTTCTATCTAATTATCTTGTCATCGATGTTTTTTTTTTCATGAGCATAATATTTGTATATTTTCACCATAATTAATTGCGGATATTGGACTCTCTAATTAATCAGGATGCATATCGCGGTATCCATTAGTTGAACCACTCCATTTAAAAATCCGCTTCGTGATTAGTTCATAGCTGTTAATAGCCTGTTATGTTAAGCCTTCATATATATGATTAAAAGGAAAACCATACTGTTTAAATATTTTTATCCTAATTTTTTGTTTTGAAACCAAGTTTAGAAAAAACTGAGACACGCTTTCTATTAGTTAGTACATCTGAAAAGAGTAAAATGATACAATGAGCTATATTAAGTACCCCTTCCTCTTGATGAGGTAAATGGGCCAATATGACCAATTACAAAAAGAAAAGAGTAATTTGATTATACTTGCTTTCTTGCATGTCTCTAATGAACGTCTGCCATTTATCTTTTTTTTTTTTCTCAAAAGTAATAACACATTTTATGAGGCCATGCAGGTGCACATACGATAGGACAAACCGACTGTCAATTCTTCCGTTACCGTCTATACAACTTCACGGTGACCGGAAACTCCGACCCAACCATAAGCCCATCGTTTCTTACGCAGCTCAAGACTCTTTGTCCTCCCAATGGAGACGGTTCGAAACGTGTTGCTCTTGACATTGGTAGTCCCTCAAAATTTGATGTCAGCTTCTTCAAGAACCTACGAGACGGCAACGCCATTTTGGAGTCGGACCAACGGCTTTGGTCGGACTCCGAGACAAATGACGTGGTGAAGAAGTATGCGAGTACTATTAGGGGTTTGTTAGGGTTTAGATTTGATAAAGAGTTTAGTCAAGCTATGGTTAAGATGAGTTCCATTGATGTCAAGACAGACGTCGATGGTGAGGTTAGGAAAGTTTGCTCGAAAGTGAACTAGTTTGAGTAAAACATAAGGAAAAAAAAAGAGATTATAAATAATACCGAGTGTATGTCTTGTGGTTATCAACGAGTACGTACCTTGCGGAAATGTTGACTCCTTAATCTCAACTTGGCTGATCCGAGACCAAAGGCGATTATGGGTCAAAGGTCTGTAATTTCTTTTGTTGTTAAAAATAATATATATATATATATATATTAATATATATAGCTCCATATTTAAATTTCCAGGGAAGTGTAATTGTCAAATGTTTCTCAAATAACTTTTTATTGTCGAGTTTGTTTTGAATGGTAAAAACAATACTAATATGCACGTATCTTTAAATTTTCCATATAAGGTGCATTTTAAAAGTTGTCTTGTACATATAACAATATGACGAATACGGTTTTTTTTTTCAGTATCGAGATTCTTCTTGATTTTTCCTTAAAAAAATGACTAATGTTGATGTTGTTGTAATCTTTTTATTCAGATATCAATGAAAAATTTTCCCTTTCTTTTTCAAGATACCAACATCGTGATGAAGAGTGAAGACATAACATTGAATCTTGTTTTTAATTTCAATAGAAAATAATCTATTTCAGTTTAGGAAAAACAATTATTCTATAAAATAAGAGAATAATACTAGTTCCCACTTTTTTACTGATATTTTACTAAATTCCTAATGATTATTATCCTTTTTTATAGTGATTGAGCAAACCTATCCTATTATGCATAACGACACTAAAAAGACAGTTAAAAATTCTTAGTTGGCAAAAGAAACACCAATTGGATTGTGACAAACAAACAATAAATTCCCCAATAATTAAAAAAGAACGTGATCCTCGTGTCTCTCTAGATAATTGCTTCGTCCAAAGTCCAAACCACTATGATCAGACTTTTTTTTAAACCTTTTTGTCCACACAACAAAAAAAAAAGATCTGACCTTTCTTGCTGTTCATCTCCATACCTTTTCAACAACAGACAGATTAACTGAAAATGCTCAGATTAGCGCTTTCTTTGTTCCTGTTTGCGTTATTCTCTTTCGCCACCTCTTCTTCCTCTGCGAGATCCTTCATCACCACAAAACCTCGTCCGATTGATTCGTTTCTCCCTAAACCCAAGCTAGAGGTAAACACCAATTTCGATCCATTGTAAGATTCTGATCCGTGAATCAACGGAAACAAACTTATTGATTTCTGTTTAATTTTCAATATTTCAGAATGCGCGTGTGTGTTCTTACACGGTGGTCATTAAGACAAGCTGTTCCTCTGTCTCTTACACCAGAGATAAGATTAGTATCGCGTTTGGTGATGTGTACGGCAACGAGGTGAGTTTTATTCATTTATGGGTTTTGGATCTACAAACTATCAATGGAAAATGAATCCGTAATCAATCGAATTCAGAAAATTGAAGTAATTTTGGTTCTGCTTCTTGATTTTAAGATCCAAAGAACTTGGCTTGGGTTTAACCAATTACACTTCTCTGATAAACAGCAAATTTGATTATAAATTCAGATTCTAAAAATTTGATTTTTTTTTTTTATTTGGTTTGGTGATCAGGTATACGTGAAGAGACTAGACGATCCACACTCGAGGACATTTGAAAAGTGTTCTTCAGACACATACAAGATAAATGGACCGTGTATGCGCGACGTCTGTTATCTCCACCTCCTCAGGCAAGGATCCGACGGCTGGAAACCGGAGAACGTGAAGATCTACGGCTCATCCATCAGATCAGTCACTTTCTACTATAACATCTTCTTGCCTAACTCCGTTTGGTATGGCTTTGACGTCTGCAATGGCATTGCCCTTGACAAGTCTTCTTCTCATCAACCCATCATTGCCTCCGCCGTTGCAGCTATGTAAGATTCGATATAAACAAAGAGAGTTGATTGTCTGTGATGTTTTGCTATTTCTATGGCGTAAACAGAACATTGTATTGTGAGAAAAAAACATGTACAATATGAAAATTGTCAGTGCGGTGATGATCATGTGATCTTTTTTTCTTTGATATAAGATAAATAATTAGCATGCAAAAACCAAGCGGGATTGTTAACTCGTGAAGGAGAAATAAAACTGTGTGAATACAACTTAGAAGATGATAGAAACTTTGTTCTGTTTGAAGCAAAAAAACTAGTGAATAGTGAATCTCTTGCAGAAACCCATTCAGAACTGTAACCAAAACACCCAAAAACACTCGGGAAGCTTTGAATATATCAGAGCTTGAGAATAAGGCCAATGGGGCAATGGTCACTGCCGTTGATATCAGGGAGAATGTAAGAATCATGGACATTTGCTGCGATCGATTCAGATACCAAGAAGTAGTCCAGTCTCCATCCTGTTTTCACACACCAGTTCAACAATCCAAATACGAATCGTATTAAACAACTATCAACATTTTTTTCTATGCAGACATGAACATTACCTCTGTTGGTTTTGCGGGCACCATGGCGATAACCCCAATAAGTGTAACCAACAACACCAGGATGTTGTTTTCTAAAGGTATCCACAAGCCCCTTGTCTAAGAAGTTTGCTCCGAAGGATTCTCGTTCTTCTATTGTGAAACCAGCACTTCTTTTGTTCCCCGCGGGATTGAAGATGTCGATTTCTTCATGAGCACAGTTTAGATCACCAGTCAAGACTACAGGTTTAGACTTCTCCAGCTCCTGCAGATACAACAGGGCCATTGAGTGTTTTGTAAGAACATATACAATGAAAGCAAAGAAACACAGGAGAAAAGTTTCATACTTTGATGTAATTGCTGAGTGCTCGATCCCATTCTTCAATCCTGTATGACTTTTAAAACCCAGAGATTTGTTAAATTGTAGAAAACAAGAATATGTCAACTGCAGAAACTAAATGCCGTAAATTTGAGGAGTACCAGTCTTTTTAAGCCATCTCCGGAGTTAGGGACATAGGTGCTTATCAAGTAGAATGAGTCGAATTCAACAGTCACAATGCGCCCTTCCATGTCATGATCTGATCCAGATTGACCAGTACCATATCTAACCGAGAGCGGTTTAATCTGTCACAAGACCAACTTTGATCAGAACGTTTACAATGTAACATATAAGATCAAATGAATATGAAATAACAAAGCACATTCTCGTGTTACCCGTGAAATAATCGCAGTTCCAGAGTAACCAAGTTTTGAGACGCTGCAGGACCAGAAACTATGATCATAGCCTTCAATAAGAGTTTTCTTGATTTCCTCAACATCCTTCACCTGCCAACAAGTGTAGTAAATGTATTTAGTTCCAAGAATTTTAAAAGCTGGCTTTACTTAAAGACGGGCTAATGTTGTGTAGTGACCTGGATTTTAGTCTCCTGCAAGCACAAGACATCAAAATTTTCTCTTTGGGCAAGCTGCAGAGCAGAGAAGCTCTCTAACTTCAGCAGTGCTCTGAGTCCATTAACATTCCAAGTCATAACCTTCACACACTTGGTACCCTCTGGTAGAGGAGGAGGTCTCATTGTCTTTGGGTTATAAGCTTTCCAGTCTTTCTCAGGCTTCTTATGGGCAAGTACCGTCCACGGTTCACTTTGACTCGAGGATGAGACGTTTTCATCCGTTTTAAGGACTTCGCTAGAAATGGTCAATGTTGCTTCTTCCTCTTTTAACAGAGATTCCTGCTTACCTAAGGGGATTTAAGCACAACACACAATATATCATAATAATGATCTATGTAGATGCCAGTATTTAGTACACAGTGTTCGCTTTGTTCAACACGTGACAAACCTGTTTTGTTCATCGACTTCCGATCAATTGAGATAGCTTTAGCTTTCATGTTTTTCTCAGTAGACTGTTTTACTCTTCTCTCTCCATGGCCATTGCAGTCATCTTCAGTAGGCTCTTCCTTGTTTCTGGTCTTTCTTTTGGTAGTGAAACTTTCTGAACAGGTGGACGAAGTAGTTTCCTTTTTCTCTGCACCAGAACTTTCATCTGTAACACATGAAACAGGAAAGGGCTTGGTTTTTACTTAAAAATAAAATGTAGTATAGACACAGCTCCAAACCAAAACTCCTTACTACAGGAATAGTCAGAAGCTACTATAGCGATTCGAGTATTTTCATTTAAATTCAAATGGAACAACCGTAAATACAAAGAAAAAGAGTGTGTGTTCTTGGTGTGCAGTGACATACCCGCCATATGGAGTCGTAAAGTTGAGATAAGTTCTTGTTTGCGTCCTTTCACAGGTAGCCCAAGTTTCCTATATTTCAAAACCATTGTCACTCGAATAAACCAACTTCCCACATGTTCATAGAATGACCAAGAAGTTGGTTGTCCACATAAACAATAACAAAGCAGGAAGAAGAAAGAGAGAAAAAAAGAGAGCATAAGCTTGCCTCAGTGTGGATCTAAGTTCTTGAACAGTCATGGCCTCGATTTGCTTTTCATCATCCTGAACATTTCCCATTTCATCACTATCACTATCACTTCCCTATACATCAAAACCAAACAATTAAACAAACAGAACCAAATATCCTTAGGAACCAGAACAAAATGGAAACTGATCAATCACAGCATTAGCACCAACCATCTGATGACAATTCCGTCCAGTAGCTGCTGCTGCAATCTTCAATTCCTTTCCCTTGCTGTTGTTGATAAAGAAAGTTCTAGATTTAGCCGTCGCGCTTGACATAAGCCTCTTGTTGAAACTTATTGTTCCTACTCCAACACCAACAACAGATGAACCAACTCTTAAACTCCTAAGAGGCACCACAAGAAACCTAGAATCACCATCATCATTATCAGTCACGAACTTTCACGAAAAAGATTGAAAATTTGGGGGAAAAGGTCACAGCTTTGGGATTCATATATCAGCTAAATGAAACAGAACCCAAAAGAAACACGAAACCAGGTTTGATTTGTCCGAGTGAAAGAAACGAGTCAGAAGATAGCACACACACATAAAAAAACCCTAAATTTGAAGAGGTGGATAATCCAGCAGCAAAAATAAAATAAAAATCGAAGCAGTAATTTACAGATTCAGACAGAAACTCACTTGGCGACATTGATGACAGAGCTCTGCAGACCTAACTGAAGTACCTTGTTCATCGATAAAGAGCCGCACATAAGCGAGAGGAAGGGGGAAAAAGAACCGCCAAAACAGAGCGTCTATTTACAACGCGATTCCCAGTTTCACTCGCTCAATCCATTCAGACGCGTATATCACACGCGCCTGCCGAACTTTCTTCACTTTGGTCTTCTTTAACATGACAGGGTCACAGAGACTGTAAGCATTAAGATGATTCATTCTGTTGACAAGAGGAAAAGGAGATGAAACCAAACATTTTGGATAGAATGTATATAAATGGACCAAGGAGATCCACAAAGTCTGCTATAACAATCTTCTTGTTATAATAAACCTAAGCAGAAAAAAAAAAACTTGAAGAAATGTACATAACATCTCATTTTCATCTCTCTGCAAAATTGAAATTATCCCTACTACAAAGTAAAGATTTAAACACTTTGCGTTGTTTCCAAGCTTGGAGGTGATTTCGGCGGTGCTGCTTGAGATTCACCGTCAAGATCATCATCAAGGTTAAACTCCAACACTTTCCTAACAGTTGCTTGAGATGATTCTCTAGAAATGCTTGAGATTGAAGAAGAGTTGTTTTTGTTCTTTGAGAAAGACATGTGAGCTGAGGTTACCACCGAGCTGAAAACACCAGCTTCTCTTAGCTCTTGGATTATAACCTGAGAAAGAATTGTGAAAATCAAAAGCTCTCAAAGAATGTAAAAGTTTATTGGGTTTGGTAGTCAAAGTAACTGACCATTGGTGCATAAATGCGAGTGAGGATTCCTTTCCTAAGAAGTTTCTGTTTCAATTTCTCGTCAGTCCAAACAACTCGTTCTCTGTACCATTGAAGCATTTCCTCTGAAGTTGAAGTTGAAGCAATGATGAATGCCTGCACAAGAAGATGAATGTGATGATGAATACGATATATACACAATGCGAGGAAAAACAAAACCAAATCCCAAACTCACAGCTCTGTCAAATTCAAGCATGAAACATCTCTTGACATCCTCTCTAGTTGGTTTGCAGCCACATCGATCACGTCTTGAAGTAAGATCTGAAAATCTTGGGTAAGTGTAGTGCAGAATCGCAGCTTCGTCCAGTTTAATTGTACTTGTCACACAAACAAACCAAAATGAAAAAGATGAAGATCAATGTCATCAGATTACAAAACCAAAAGAATGGATGTCTTCTATGTTTAAGGCAAGTGTGAGGACAAGAACATACTTTGGGAACTTCATGTAGTTAAACCAACGATGAGCACCGTTGGGCCGAAGATGGTCTTGAATCCGAGCAGCGGATTTTCCATTTGCATATGTAAGAAAATAGTTTGGATTGCCACGAGTTGCCTCTTTATAGCTTCCAAAGTAAACCTCTCTTGGAAGATGATAATAACTCTTCTTGAACATTGATACCTATAAACTTAAAATGAAACACTCTTTTGGATCTGTGAAAGATCAAAAACTCATAGGACCATACATCCCAAAATCGAATGTTCTGTACCTCACTGAAAGGTTCCTTGATGTCATCTCGCTCGACGCTGCTCTCCTGAAACAAGAACATTGTGTGCGAGTTATCAACAACATCAGGAAACCAGAAAGAAATGTTTAAAAACCAATTCAAATGTCTCGAAAGAAACGATTCACTCACGTAATTTTCAAAGATAACTGCGTCCACATGTGAAGGAACATCTCTGAACAGATTTCTTAACGAATATTCACGGGTTCCAGAAGGATGCACAAGCTCATCAGTGTCGAGATGCAGTATCCACTCCATACCAGCATCCTTAAAGAGAGAATGTGAGAAATGTTCATTTTATTCTCTAGTAGTTGAGTATGACTTTAAATATATGTGTCAGGAAACTCCAAGGGGAATGTAACAAGAAGTAAGTACCCTTGCCATGGTGATAGCCATTTCCATATTCAAGCTTTGTTTCACGAATAATTCGTAATTACAAGGTTTGTAGAAGAATTTCTCCAACCATGTCTCATTCCAAATCCGGCTGTAATCAAATAAAAATATGATGAAACCTCAAATCAATGATCTGAAATTACACCTTTACAACAACCAGTTCGTTTTGACCAATCATGTCTCTGTCTAAATAAACAGAGGTTGTTCCTTTAACCCCAAATAATTAATGACAAACACAAAACACAAGACTACCTTTTAGCTTGCTCTTCCTCTAATTCTCTTGTCCTGTATATAACTCTTACACCCTGCAAATCCAAAAAATTGTCACTGGGGAATTAAAACATTAAGACAAAACATAACCAAAAAAAAAAAACAAAATCAGGATTATTAATAGAGTAGTCAAATTATATAACAAAACAAACTCGAGAAACGCTTACAGGGATGGTTTCCAAAACTCGAGACACGTTTGGGGAAGAAGCAGTGCCTTCAACGAATAGATAAAAGTTTGAAACTCCAATGACCTTGTGGTAGAATATCCATGGCAGTGTCTGCTCTAACCCAGCAGAAGTAGTCGTCGTAATACATATCTACACCCACAAACAGGAAAAAAAATCCGATTTCTAATTCATAATATCAGATTAGAATTGAAAAAACATGAGATCTAACCCTAGGTTTCAGATCTGGCTTGTGCTCGAGCTTCAGATCCCGGAGATAAGGAAACGATGGAGCATGGCTTTGGCCCAGAAGAGAAACGCATCCCGAATCAGACCGGAGAGACCGTTTCTCGGGATCGGTGGCCATTCCAGGGAATTTATGGTTATCAGTAAACCACTGCGTAACCGAATCGTTGATTTCGCCGCGCCATTGGAGGAGGAAGGCGAAGGAGGCTAATGAGAGAGGAAGAAGGGTCACTAGCAAGAAAAGACGAGAGGAGGAAGATGATGATGGAGTTGGTTTTGAGGAGGAAGAGGAGTAGAGAACCGCCATGTGAGAATGCAACAAGAAAAAAAAAAACTGAAAGGCGCAGGTGATGTTGTTGAGGGAGACGATCACTTGAAACTGAAAGGAGTTTTTGAATTGAAAGAAGGAGCCGTTTTTATCAGTTGGCCATTCTTGTAATTTCTTCAATCTTCAGGCTCGTTGAATTAAATAGCGGGAATTTACTTTCTTGACTTTTAAGAGCAAATTTATCTTTGAAAACAAATTGTGTTTCTTGAAATGGAATTAATCTGGACCTAAATATACACATATGGGTAAGTTTTGGTAATAATTTAATTTAGGAGTAGTTTTGACCTTGAATAACTCTTTCTACTAGATTTTTATTTAACACATTTCCGAAAAGAGTAATGAGGAAAATGGTATTCAAAGTTGAGTCCAAAACTGAAGAAGTAAAATCAGTCCTACAGTAAAATCAGCTTGGTAACGCCATGTGGTTACATGAGGAAGTTACCAAACTAAAAAGTAAAACTGGAAAAGGCTTTCCTTCTAAAAAATTAATCTAAGAATTTGCTTCTTCTTTTTCTATATAGAAAATTAATCTAAAAATCAATTTTCTATAATAGTCTAGTGATGATATTAGGCTAATTTATTGTACCAATTTTTGAGTCAATTAGCTCAAAAACATGTTTAAAGACTAAAATGAGGAAAAAGATAGAAGGTGAAAATGTATTAACATCTAACACCGAATTAGTGGGGAACAAGAAAAGTAACACCGAATTTTATTTATATACGAAAATAGATCGGCGACTTGAGCTTAGTTAGTAGCATAGCTCTGCCACTTAGGTTCGACATTGTCTCTACATTTCCACAAACCCCAAAGACAAAAAAAAAAAAAAGTAAAAGTGAAAGATAGTGGAATTTTTCTGAGGGTAAAGAGAAGAGGTCTGGAGTTGGAATCACAAGGACTCAACAAACTGAGAAACTTGAAGCTCAAGTTGCTGCTTCATGACACAGTTCATTAACCATTCGCTGCTGAATGTCCAAACCCTTTTCTTTGCTGCACATAAAGCCTCCTCTGTGTCTTCTTCGCACCCTATGTATATCGCTTTCGATGCCTCTTTTACCTTTTCCACTCCTCTTATCACCTGAAATTTACAATGTTCTGGATTCAAATGTTGAAGCTTTGTGGTGAAAGCAGACACTTGGAAAGAAAGAAAACTTGAAATTAGAACTTACGTTTCCACCAGCAGATTTGATGATAGCAGATGAAGTTTTAATAGGCAACTGAACATGAGGTCCAACGCATATGTCATATCCTTTAAGCAACGAGTTAGGTCTAGCCTTTGCTCTAAGAACTGTGCTTTTTAGATCAGTTTCATATTTCAACTGGTACTCTTCATCGTGCAATATGTGCGAAGCTTCATCTATTAATTCGGTTCATAAAAAAAAAACAAGAGTAGTGTCAGCAATAGAATTCAGACAACTTGACAGATAATTCATGGGATGTTTGTCTCATCATCTTACTAGCAAATCTGCCTTGTCGGAAACTTTCTTTTAGCCAACTTGGTGATACGATCCAAGCCCTGCAAGCACGTATGATGCAAACATAAACTCGCGTTATTCTTATGATTAACACATAATTTCACAAACAGTCGACATGATGCCAGTAAATTTGAGACTAACCCAGAGCAAAGAGCAGTGCAGAAATTAAGCGTTTTCCTGGCTTTTCCGGTGACAATATGTGTGCTCATGTTGCCATCCAAGGTCACGTCACCGCCTAGTTTTCTTATTACCTGCGATAGATATCGGAAGACAACATAAGGTGAACAGAAGACACATCTATGGAACAGTTGACTTAGAAATATAAATATACCTCTGTTAACCAGGCTCTCTTGTTTTCATCCCCAATGTCCATCAACAAGATTCTATAGTTTTGTCCATTTGGAGGAGCTTCCATGTCGATCAGAGAGTCAGACATCCCAGTCACCGTTCTGCATTGTTCACCATTGTTTCTTTTGCAAGTTTTGGGCAGAGGATTCTTGGTTAAACCCACTTGGGAGGAAGAAGCGTCTTTCGATTGATTCTGCTCTCTTGCAGTGCTGATAGCCAAATCCTCTATAGCTATCTCAGAGTCATTGTCGCGGTTTGCCCTAATCCTTTTGGATTGTAGAGAAGACAGTGAAGCTTCCCAAGACCTTTTCAAGCCCGGAGTGGAACATTTGGTCTCATTGTCAGCTGTGGTAGCTTGATCAGAGACCACGTTATTGTCTTCCTTTCCTGTGATCGAGTCCATTGGACTTCTGATACCAGAGAGACCTGTGTATATGGCACATTGTAACAGAAATGTATGAGTCTTCTCAACAAGTGGAATATGCTTTGTGATGCGGCATTACTCAAAATAAGTAAAATAGTTAAAGAACTTACAGTCAACATATACGCTTTCACTAAAACTCTCTCCAAGCTTAGGTGAATCTCCAGCCACAGGATCTGTGCTATTATTTCTGGCTGAGAGTGGAGATCCCTCACATTGATATTTCCATGAAGAGGCAATCTCGTGGTTTGCAGAATCAAGAGAAGATTCCTTTTTCAGATGAGAAAGCATGAGAGTTGAACCACCGGGAAAACACAGGGCTTTTCGAATATTAGACTTAATGCGTAACCTCTTTGCTTTTCCTTTCTGGTCTACCTCTGCTATTGTTACAAATCCCTGAAGAATATGTAACGAGTTACAAGAAAGCTCATAGCCCAAGTACTTCACAAGATAGATAGTTAAGTTCGAATGAATAAATTATAAAGAGAAAACTCCAAGAACAGGTAAGCATAGTGATAATAAATCACCTGTTTAAGCCAGAATCCTTCAGATTCTTTGTCTGCCCAACAGTATATCGTTCGAATGCCAACGTTATGAAGCCTCTTCATTAATTCTTCATAGACGAGTTTACCAAAACCCTGAAAATGTATTAATAAAAACACATCTTTAACAAAAACCAGTTGCAGAAAGAGAAAAAAAAGGTTACAACTAAACGAAACACTGAAAACCAAGTATGCAACATCTGTACATGGAACTTTATAGACATTTTCTATTAAACACAAGACCTTTGGTAAAGCATTACACAATAAAAACTATTACTACTTCTCGATAAAAACCTACAACAGTTAGTGTCAATGAGGCAGAGCAAAACGAACCTTTTTCTGGTGTGTAGATGTTACAGCAGCAAGAGGTATCTCAGCATACTGTGTATCCGCAGGGACTATTTGATAGGTGATTGCAGCTAAGATCTACAAAAAAAACAAATACCAACAATCAAATTTACAGCTGCAGTAAAGCAGACAAACTACAAGCATCATCTGTGAAGTCTTTGGCAGATTTACTTAAATAGATTCTGCTCTTCGATTGGAACAAAAGAGCAAACTCTTGAATGCATTAAACTTCAATCAAATCTTTAAAAAAGTATAGCTTTCTTGCACATAGATATTCAAGATTCATCCAGGGCCTAGGATGCTTTTGATCAAAGGTTAGAGCTTATTTACCTCATCTGAGACTTCGCTAAGTGTGGACTTCAAAACCAATGAACAATACTTGCTGCAAGATAGCACAATTTTCGAATAGAGAGCATTAAAACCGATCCATTCTCAATGATTTTTAATTTGTGAAAAATGACCAAAAGAAGTGTCTATGATTATGTAGAATTACCCTTTGAAGACGCATGTCTCAAGGAATGCAGATTGCTTCCCAGTGTTTGAAGCGTACTTCATGTCAGGCAGCTCTTTACTATATAACTTGAGCACTTCCTGAATTGATAATATTACAAATGATTTATAAGCAATAAAGACCCCTAAATTAAAATTATAAAAAAATTGTCAAGAGCTTTGGTCAGAGTTCACTAACCTGGAGATGAGATTTGGTAAAACCATCTTCATCCCGAGGATTAAGAAGAAGAAACATGTGTTCTTTCGGACAAGCAGACACGATTCTATCCTTCTCTACACAAGACAAGAAAACTTAACTAAGAGATTATGCAGAGAGACAGAGAGAACAGTAACCAGATTCAGAAATTCGGAGACAAACAACGTTACCACCCAAAAACACTGAGGGGGCAATAACCCAAAATGCTACAAACCTGAGATTTTCACTCTGTTGTTTCTGGAAAAGTTGATTTGGATGCTGCTGGGTCCGGATTCACAAGTAAACTTCTTACCATCCACAGCGACCTCGTAATCACCTGGAGAAATCAATCAATCAATCAATCAAAACGCCGAAGATTCATTCAATTTCACCAGTGTATCGGGAAAAAATCGAGGCTTCCGATTTCTTACCGATAGGGTAGAGAGAAGATTGAGTCGGCGGTGCTCTCTTTGGCGCCATGATAATTTTAGAGCGGGAGATATCGAGAATAACAAAACTTTTCACGAAAATATAGAATTACAGGAGCAAATGAAACGTTCGAGACTACCATTAAATACGTTTATCGAAGGGCAGTTACGTAATTAAAATTTAGAGCTCTTCTTTTTCGAAAATTTCGGGTTTTACGCGCTTCATTTCTTTTTGGGTCTGAGAAACTACTTTCATCATAAATCAAAAGCTTCAAAGGCGAGAGCTTTTGCATCAGCCGATTTAAAACCCAGACCAAAAGTCTCAATTTTCTCTGGCAATTTACTAATTTTCGGTAAAAATTCGGAAAATGGTTTTATGTTCTTCTTGGTGGGTATCTCAGAAGCAGAACCGAACTTGAACATGTGTATATGACGACACACCTGACCTTTTTGCATCCGTACCTAAAGTCGATATGATTGAATCCAAATGAGCTGAATCTGATGATGTAATCAACATCCTTTTCTTAGCCACCAACCAGTATTCTGTAGAGAACAGAACATCTGATCTGGGAAACTAAAAAGTAGCTGAGACTTTAAAATCATCTGCATTTGAGCTTTCTCTTCGACTTCAAGCCAAAGCAACATTGATCTTGTAGCAATCACAGTTTAACCAACCAGTTCCAATAAGCCTAAAGAAGCTTCTTCCCGTGAAATGGTGATAGTGTTGAGAGGTGAATCATTAATGGAAATAAACTCTACTTCTCATTTCTCTTGAAATTTTACATTTTTTTTTATGTTTTTACATTTTTATGATAACAAGTTGAGAATGAACATCATAAAGGTACAAAGTGTTACAGGTTTTTTGGTGGAAGCAAATACTAAAAATTACAAAGGTACAGTGGCTAAGACTCAAAGACTAGTTTTACTTTTTTAACCATCTCTTCTTCAGCGAGGCTGGTGGATGTTTCTGGGAGCAACCCTCTGGTTTCCCCATTTAGCCGGCTTTTCTGCATACTTAGCCGGTTCTGCAACTGATTTAGGGCTCCTGTTTCCACTCGACTTCCTCACCATCTCACCATTCTTCCCTAACCCTGATCACACAAAACAAATTCAGAATCTAATCAGTCTCCAACTCTTGTTGTTCTTGATTGGATTGTTTTATCAAAACCAACTTACCAAAGTCGGAAGGTGCGTGGTAGATTTGTCCGCCGTATCCATGATCAAACTCGGAAGCATCAGCGTCGAAGAAATCTTCCATGTCGTCGAAGTCGAATGACTCGGGAAGAAGATCAGCTACATCGACCTCGCCGCTACGGTTGTTGTCGTTCTCCCCGTTGTCGTAGAAACCGTCGGGGCCTTGGTGCTGGCTGATCCAGTAATCATGGTACCAAGTCGAGGTTGTCACCAACTGCCACCACTCAGGGGAAAAGTCTTCCACTTGTCGAACAGCTGCCGGAACAAAAAGGGGTGCGTCGGGGTTTAGAGTAGAACGTCTTCCTGAAACCATCGCCATTTCTCTTACTCGAACTTAGATCTGCCAACACACAAAACATGGTAATAAAATTCAAATCAGATCCTAAAAGTGGTTAACTTTGCAAGTAAACAGATTTATATATTTTTTCAGATCCGAAAACGAAGCAATCAATCAAACCGCCTCCCAATACTCTACGATCAAAGCTTATTTAGTAACTACAATTCTTCGATTATGTGAAACTGGCTAAGCATGGTTTGAACATCGAGAGATCTGAAGATTTATCAAAAATGAAGACTTTAGTTCCGAACTATTAGCTAGATCGACGATCACCACTCAGATCGCAACCCAGAAGATAGTTTGATCACTTCATTTCTTCATACTTTAAACAAAAAACTTTCTCGGAAAAACCCATCAAAATCCCAGGAACTATGAAGATTAAAAAACCAATCGGATAATTAATCGCCCATGAGAAGATTGATCGAGCACAAGAAGACAAGATAGCAGCAGATCTTTTACCTTTGGTCTGAGAAAATATCTGCAACTAGCTCAAGTTGAATTTTTTTTTTTTTCTTCTAGCTTCTTCTCTTGACAAAAGCGAAAACGGATTAGGATCAGACACGATGCGAGAAGATGAGGGGAAGAGTAGTGTAATTATATAAAGTAAGGTTCGGTGTCGGACCTCAGGTTCGTTGAACCGAGGCAAAATCATTTTGTGAGACACAAGTGGGTTCGTCTGGACCCGCACCTAACATGATTTTGAGTAATCCGCCGTCCACGTGTTGACGCGTTACTGTTGGCTTTATTTGACTTTGTTTCGTTCCAATCCATTGGCGACTCGTATAGTACAAAGTAAATTATTATTCTCTTTTTTTAATAAAATATCTCGAAGAGGATAAGGTAGGAAACTAATCCAATACAAGCCCATTAACAACTTATGGGCCTAATAACCCGCCCATGGTTTTTGTTTCCAGTAATCCCACTCTGTTCAAAGTTGTGATTTTAGTACTGTGTGAACCTCTCCGCTTATTACAATCAACAATTAAATTCACATGAGGAGATTAGATAGTAGTATTTAATGTTGACTAGCCATTAAACATCATCTTACTAGTATTTTTTTCATTCATACCACATATTATGGAAAGAGTATATAATGCTGACTAGCCATTAAACATCATTTTAATAGTTTTTTTTTTTTTAGCAAGTTTTTTTTTTTTAGTCGGGTTTTCGTAACAAGTTAATACTACTAACTAGAACAGGAAAACAGCCGATGAAATATTATTACTTTTAATTATTTATTGAAGTTTGATGAACAAACAGAAAAAAAAGTAATATATAAATATAAATATATATATATATATATATATATATTTTTTTTTTTGCTGTTTTATACCTTTGCAAAAGGGCAGAAACCGCGTGAATCTTGTTTAAATATAATAATTTTTTAATTGGTGGATTCATCGTATTGAACGACGAGTTTAGGAAATAAAGCGATAAAAACGATAGAGAAGTAATAACTGCAAAACGCGTTTTTACTTGAAACACTCTCCTCTTTTCCTTCTCCTTTTCTTTCTCTGCCAATCTCCCCATCGCTATAATAACAAGTCAGTTTCTGGATCTAGGGTTTGCACTGTGCGTGATCTCCTTCTCTTCTCCGTCGTTCTAGAGCCACACGTTTCTCAGGAGATCAAGCGCACACCCAAAACAAAACAAAAACAAAGATGAGTCAGTACAATCAACCTCCCGTCGGTGTTCCTCCTCCTCAAGGTTTTCTCGCAATTCCTTTTTTTTCTTCTGAATTTTACTTTGTTCTGATTTCGAATTCGGAGCGTATATATTAGAGATCTGGCTTTCTCGGTGCTGAATTTTGGTTTTTTGTTAAATCACTTTGATCTTGTTCTGTGCGTTTGGATCTGAATGATTTTGTGTTTATGATCGGAAATAGGTTATCCGCCGGAGGGATACCCAAAGGATGCTTATCCACCGCAGCAGGGATACCCTCCTCAGGGCTATCCGCCGCAAGGCTACCCACCGCAGGGCTATCCTCAGCAAGGATATCCGCCGCCGTACGCGCCGCAATATCCGCCGCCACCTCAGCATCAGCAACAACAGAGCAGCCCTGGGTTTCTAGAAGGATGGTAAGTCAAAAAGACTGGATTCGATCCAATAAATTGTTTATGTTATGTTTGTGAGTTTCGTATGGATCTATTGTATACTGAATCTGACTATATTCCGTGTTTGAATATTCAACTACAGATTCTTAGTATAGTCATGTGCTACAGCTAGAATATAACTCTGTAGAGCTTGACTTTTGATCCTTTTGTCTTTGTTGATAGAGTGTGAATTTGCATGCACCTTCTTTTCTTAGGTTGATCTTGCTTTCATCTAAGTGAGTTTGCATCTAGTGATATAGTACTGTATTTGCATATTCAAAGCAAATTGATTTGTAACTCTGTTGCTGGTATTAGAGTGTTACGAGTAATTGAACCCATATAAGTTTTTTTGGTTTACTTTTTTATGAGCAAAAACTGATTGAGAATGTGAACAAATGTTTTTTTATTATTATTTTGCAGTCTTGCTGCTCTCTGCTGCTGCTGTCTCCTGGATGCTTGCTTCTGATTGGAGTCTTCGAGGGGATGCTGATTTAGATGCAAGAGAGAATTTGGCAAAGAAAACAAAAAAAAAAAGAAGAACCTTGGTTGATTTGTGAGAAATTAAAAAATGGATTGCTGGATAATCTCTTGTCTATTATTCTCTTTCGTTTATGCTTTTATGTGCTTGGGTTCATAGTAACCCTATTGTTTGCCAACGTTCTGGCTCGGTTTGGATTTGACTAATGGGAATGTAAATTGTTTGTTGGGGGAGATACTATTCCTTTGCCTCAGTCTATTTGCTTTCTTTATGTGTGTTGATAATCCACCTGATCATGTTAGATTAAACTACAAATTATTATTGGAAAAGTAGATTCGTGTCGTGTGGAATTTCCACTGACCATATTGTCTGCAAACTAATCCACATGGCCCACATGGGTTAATCGGTTCCGTTAATGTTGTTAGGTAAAGGTTTTAATCAGGGAGAACAAACATTAATTGCAACCAGTTTGCAAAATAATTAAGGGTATAAATCTAATACTGTGAACGACATTGTTTATGTGAAGGAAGTTCTGCTAAATACGTTCGATGTGAACTTTTCAACGCATAATTCAACAAAATAAATTAATGACACTCGAGCTAAAAAGTGTAGAATTTCATTAGCAATAGTGTGTGTGAAGTCACGCTTCTGTCCTGTTCTTTGCATTACAAACATAACTAATAGAAATAGCAAAAAAAATATTTAAAGATCTAAACAACATATCATCCAAAAAGAACAAGGCCTAATTGGTGTTGGAGTCACAATGATTAGGAGAAGAAGACTCAGGAAACGTAGAAGCATCACGCGACCCACACCGTTTTGTTCCGCCGTTGATATAAAGAATCAGACCACTTTGGTTCTTTTCTCTAACAACAATCGCATTGTCTTTCCTAAATCCGTGTGTCGATACCGATTGAACACAAGGTTTGGCCTTGTCGACACTTTCTACTCGACTTGGCTTCGGATAATAGAAATCGGTTGGGAACAAATTGAACTCAAGTAGACCTGACATTGAAATTTTTGCAACCAAATCGAAAACTAAAACAACCTTGTGAATAGAAAATTTTATCCTGTGTGTTTACGTTTCTTTCATTGCTTTATATAAAGAAATTATGGAAAAAGACTTTAGAGAGAGGTTTTGGAAATTGGAGTTTCTTGGGCTCTACGAGTTTTACTTGACGAATACGCCTTAGGGCTTGAAAAGTCTTTTATCTGCCTTTGACATTTTGACTCTAAAACTCGCCTAGAAGTAACTAGAAGGTTAAGGCAGGATATTCTGATCTACTAAAACAATGATTTCCAAATTATTTATTTTCTTTTATGGGAACCTTCCATATCGATTCAGTCGCATGTTACAAATTTCCATTTTATAAATATGAACTACTGCACTACATTACTGATTTTCGTTCGCGTCTCATGTAAAAGAGTCTGAACCAATGTTTACGCTAACTCGAAAAGTAAATTAAGAAACTGAGGTTACTTAACTTTTCGAATTTCGTTAGTTTGTGCTAGATGATTTGTTGTATATTACACCCAGAATCGAATCGTGATGATGTTGAACTAATCTCGCTACGATTGAAGATTAATTCATAAACAAATGCTACTTTGAATTTTGAATCATATTAAGATTAAAAGAAAGCAAACGAAAGAGCCTCACGAGTCTCGCAGAGCGCCGATTTGATCTCCGACGAGTGTTTCTGTGAGCATCGCTGGTGCTCAGGCTTGGGGAACTATCTTGTTCCGAGCCTCTCTTGCATCCCTCTCTCTTACATATCTCTGACGGATTAATTTCTATGTGTGGCAAGGAAAATGTGAGAATACAAGAATCGATATCAGACATTTACTAGTGCTGTATACAACCGATACATACCTCTTTCTGCTGCGCTGCAATTTGGTCCGATCTCGGCCCATACATCTGCTCATGCAGTCCCGCTAATCCACGGTGTATCTCCTCTGCAACTAAGATCAGCTCAGAGTAAGCCACGCCGACCAGCTCTCTACCCGACATTCTCCTGCGAGGTGTCAAGCAAACTCCACCATAAATAAGAACCAAACCGCAAAAGAAAACCTACTTAGTTCTCAAAAAAAACTAAGAACTCGTTCAACAACAGACCCAGGAAACGGGACATCCTCCAAGTTCCAGAAGACGGCCGTCTGCTCCCCTGTGGTTCGCTCTGCAAGGCATAAATAAAAGTTCATGAGTAGAGTCATACATACCACTACTTCATCATCTTGTATGTGTGGCCTCTCTTCACATCTGAAAAGAGTTTTGCAAACCCAGAACAAGTCAGGCGTTTATACGGATAAACATGAACCAAGAGACCAAAACTTAGAACCTAGAGCTAGAACATCACTTAGATTTGCAACGGCTAGGGTTTGTAGCTCACAAACAACGGGTTCCATATCTCAAAAAAAAACTAAGAACTCGTTCAACAACAGACCCAGAAAATATACAACCCTTTTATGATGTTTCCGAGAGATATACCTGCTGCTGCTGCTGGATAATCCGCAGAAATCGCAGAGCACTCCCGCCTTCTTCGTCAAGTCTCTTCTCCCTCTCCTCTTCAGCTTCATCTGAACTCTCCTTCTCCGGTAATAACGATTATGAAATTTACTGAGCTCCCTTGAAACCAAAAGGAGCCTCAGCGGCAAGCAAGTGTCATCATCCGAGAAACATCTCTCTTGCTCAGCTAACCCAGAGATTGATCCCTAATAGACGGAAGCGGTTCAGAGATTGATCCCTACTTAGAAAATATACCATTTTGATGATAAAAAGTAAAAAAAAAAAACGTTGCATATACATACCACTGCTTTGTGCTGCCTTGCAATCTGTTCCCTTCTTGGTCCCAGCCTTTGGTCCCTCAGACCCATCTTGGCACGCATTACTCGATTTTCTAATCGGAGCAGGTCGAAGGAAGTCATGCCGCCGAGCTCTCTGCCATTCATTCTCCTGAGAGAAACACACACAAAAATGAGGAGAAGAAGAAGAGACTTTTGCAGGAGCAACAAAGTGGGAAAATGCTAATTACGTACTCGTTCAGAAGCCACAATCTCTCCAACTCGCTCTGCGCGGATTCAGAGCTTCGTCTCTCAAATTCTCTCATCATCTTAAGCTGCAACAACAGGAGCAATGTAAAGACACCAAAAAGAGGGGGACCACAAGAGCATATATACACACAACGCACCAGTGGTGCTGTTCCATCATCCTGTCCTTCTTCTTCAGAGCTAACAAAACTATCTCCCTGCTTGCGCAGCCTTTCATCTTCTTCTAGCTTTACCTTCGTCTGCAATACAAATGAACAAGATGCTTCAGACTCGCAACATCTTTAATCAATAAGAAAAACAAGTACAATCTCTTTCTTTCTCTATTTCTTCACCCTTTGGTCCGCCACAATGAGCTGGACATCCTGTAGATGGCTTTCAAGTGCTAGCAGCTCGGAGAAACTCACACTCTCGTCTTCACCAGTCATTCTCCTGGTAGTATGAACAAAAAAAAACAAAAGAAAGCTCATATGAACCTAAAAGAAAATTGAATCCAAAGTGTGGAATGTGAAGGAACGAGGCATACTTGATAAGAAGCCGTAATCTCTCGACCTCTTTCTGCACAGGCAACAAGAGAAGCGCAGTGTAAGCGCGACAACATAGATATATAAACAGGATGAGATCTATTTGACATAATCGTTGTGAATATACATACCACTGCTTCATGGTCTTGCTCCTCTAGACTTTGTTCAGATCTGCATCCATACCTGGGACAAAGGTCAAGGCTTTAAGGTTTAGAATATAGAACCCTCGTTCGATAGTATAATAGATAGCTGATCGAGAAACCTAACAATCCGATTTTGTGATGGATTCCATATCCCAGACCTAATTCAACAGCGAAACCCTAGAAAAGAAGCCCTAGTTCGATAGTCAAATCGTACTGTGTGACTGATTACCTGCTGCTGAAGAAATCGCAGAAATTGCAGGGCACTCTCACTTTCTTCATCGAATCTCTTTCCATCTTAATCTTGAAGAAGAAGAAAATAATAAGAGAGACGACAGGCAATTAAACTGTACGTATAAAATTGAGAGAAACATTCAACCTCTTGTTGTTTCCAAATTTGAAAAAGAGGAAAACAAAAAAAAAGGAAAGAAAAGATTAAAAAAAAATGCTCTGCATACCCGAACGGTTCTTTAGGATAACCGAAATAAAACCATAATTGATTGGTGTTGGTTCGCATTTACCGGATTAAAATACCTTCAAGCTCCGACTCTGACCGGGAGGTCCAGGACAATGTGTGTTCATTTGGGTCTGTTACTGATTCCTGGGACTAGTGCTAAGTTGATGATTCTTAGCATATTGAGATTTGAGAATTACGTTTCGGTTCTTGTGACCGCTATTAGTAATGATGTGCTCTGCTTTTGTGTTTTGGCCTTTTGGGGCATTCTCACATGTGATCGCATCTGTTTGGCAATGAGGATAATTAAGACTACTCCTGACTACACAAAAGTCACATGAATCACATCATACCTTTTTTTGTGGAAAGCGTGTTGAGATGGTATTGTCGCCAATGTATGGTTACTTAGTTTCCAAGTAACAGCCTTAAGATTCGTTTTGATGTTCTTGTGACTGACTCTTCAGATGAAGATGTTTTATAAGATGTTCGAATGTCAAGAGGTAAAGTTAAAGTGTTAAACTATTCGGTTATTTCACTACATTTGTTATCAGTTCTACACACAAATTATTTTTAAAGACCAGAGTCGGCCCGATTCGGCCGTACCAAGTAGTGCGTCTTACGTTCTGTAGGGATTTTTCTACTTTTATATATTAGCCGAAACTGTTGAATAATATTGGAACTTTTGGTTCATAAATTACTTTTTCAAAAAAAATGAAAGACACAATGTGTTTGGCCACGCCGTTTTAGCACTAAAAAAAGGCCTTCCTCTCTCTCTCATGCAGATGTAGAGAAATTTACAGAGCATAGGCTTTTTAGAAAATATTGATTTTTAAATTGACAAGTAAAAAGAAATCACAAGAACCAATTGTTCTCTTAGTGAATATCGTTCGCGTGTCATGGAAAAGAGTCTGAACCAATCTTTACGCAAACTCGCAAAGTAAAATTTAGTAATCAACGCATTAATACAATAATAGTAATAAATATTAAATAAATTTGTGAAAACATTCTCGTAACTCCCCCCCCCCACCAATCAATAAATAAAGGAGTAAAAAAGAAAATTAGGTCATGACTAGACGACCACTGCACCTGCATGTTCTGTGACGATGTCAGACCATAATTATATGTATCGAATCCAAACACAAACAAAATCCTAATGTAATTAGACAATTACATTAGGATTAGAAAAAACAACTTCTAAACTCTTTAGCCCCCAGTATTAGAAAAAACAACTTCTAAAGTTTTAAAAACCATTAGATTCGTTTGTTTTCTTCCTAGTAGATAGATACGTTGCATTCATATATGTCGAAGAAAAGGAGAAAATACAGTACTATATATTTTTAAAAAAAGAAATAAAATGTTTAAATTTGAATAGGATATGACTTAGAAGTAATAAATGTGATCTAACTAATCGTATAAAAGCAAGAGATTCCAAGAAATGGAAATGAAAATAAAATTAAATAAAAAAGAAGAAAAATGGGGAATGAATGAATGAATGAGAGAGTGAGGGTATATAAGTATCAAAAACACCAAACCACTCTCTCCACGAAGCTTCGCGGAAGCTGCCATGGCTTCCCTCTTTCTCTCCCCATTTAATACCTTCCTTCCTCGTTCTTTCCTCTCAAACCAGATTCTAAGAACAACCAATATCTCTTTCTCCTCTCAATCATCCCTCTCTCTCTCTTATCATCTCCGGTTCCGTAGCAATAATGAAGCTCGCCGCTAGCCTCAGCTCCAAATTCCTCAGCCTCAGCCCCAAACGCATCTTCCGATCCAAATCGAAGTCTTCCGTCTCCAGATCTGAACCTTCTTCCTTCAGCTCCGGTGCTTCCTCCTCTTCCTCCGAAGGATCGTACGGCAACCTCAAGGCAGGTCCCGCCGCGACTCCAATCAGTGTTCTCCCCGAGAACTCCGGCGACTGGTCCCAGATTTCCGGAGATCGCGATTTTTACTCTGAGCTGATTCAGGCGTTCAAACTGATCGACCGAGACGACGACGGCGTCGTTTCCAGGGGAGATCTAGCGGCGCTTCTCAGCAGGCTGAGTCCTGAGCCGCCGAGTCAGGAAGAGGTGAGCCTGATGCTCACGGAAGTCGACGGAGGAGGAGACGGCGGTTGTATCAGCCTCGAAGAGCTGGCTGGCCGCGTCGCCGGGACCTCCGGTGAAGGATTAGGCGAGATGAGGGAGGTGTTCGAGTACTTTGACGCGGATCGCGACGGGAGAATCTCGGCGGAGGAGCTGCACAGAGTATTTGGAGCCATCGGAGACGAAAGGTGCACGGTAGAAGAGTGTCGGCGTATGATAGCGACGGTTGATAGGAACGGCGACGGTTTTGTTTGTTTCGATGACTTTTGCCGCATGATGGAGCTTCAGGCTCCAGCGATGAATGATCATCATTAATTCATGTTTTTGATTGATGATAATGACATCGCCTTTTTTTCTTTTATTTTACTCAAATTATTTTTATATTACTGTAATTTATGTTTTTGCGGTGGGTATGATGAATTTCGGTGACGGCAAGCACTTAAACTGTTCACCGTCGGTTTGAAAATCGAATGTCTCACTAAAACTGGTTGAACTTATGTGCACATGTTTAAGTTTCACTCTCCCGTTGGTGTTAACAAACCTTATTAATTTGAGAAAGACATTAGTGTAAAGTATATTCTTTCTTTTTTTATCTCTCAGAAAGTATCGAATTTAAGAATTGTAAATTGCAAGAACCTTATTTTAGGCGTTGCAATGTGATGATTAAACTCTTATAAAGGGTTCCTCCGTAAGGTTCATCCACGGAGGCTGAGTTGCATTATACATATTGGTGAATGTTCTAATTACATGATTTTTTTTAATAGTTTGATTAACCAATAATATTTAAATACAAGATTCAGAGTAAAAATAAACAAAAAGAATAAAGAAAATTGGAGGGACAATGTCCACAAGCATTTGTCGAAGCAAGCAAGTGCGTCGACCAACTGTTCTCCACTCGACCCGTGGCCTATGGAAACATGGACCCTCCTCCCAATCTCCAATGTGAATCTATTTACTTTTTTACTCTTTAAGTTTTAAATTTGTTGAAAGATTCCGCCGAACTCTAAATTGGAAGTAAACGAAAGGTACATGCACACTACAAGGTCCACAACAAAAGCCGAGTCTAAGTTTGAATTTCCGTGAGATGTTAAAGGTATTTGCGCCGCTTCTTAAGTCCTAACCACACATTGAGGCGTAGAATATTCGTACCAGCACAAGTTTTTTTTATTAGTTGGTTAGTAGTAATCGAGTTTTTTTTAATGCATTGAATTTTATTATATATAATGCTACGCGTAGAAGAATGATTGTGCTAAAGAATCAAAACCCTACCGAGAGTATAATTGCTTTCTAAGGTTTTTTTAATGTAACGGACGACAGAAATCATCTGAAAGTAACTTAATCTCTTCTATTGTCAAGTTTTTTTGTGAGACTTTCTATTGATTTAAATATACTCCAAATGCTCTTTATTTAGTGTGCGAACATCACATGGTTATAACCCGTAGAGAAAGAGAACTTTTGAAGTTTTGGTTAAGAATATTAAGTTATATTCTATATTGCGATTACAAATTTTGAAGTTTAGTATGGACTTGGATCTTATATAAATGGCCAAGAAATCTTGCGTTTCTCTTTTAATCTTAAATTAGCTTAAACTGGAATTATAAAAAGAATTCAATTTTGAATACTTAATTTTCTTTTTTAGAAAATTTCAAACAAGATATATAGCATCGTATTTTAGATATTTTGCACCTTTCAATTATAGTGGTGTTTTGGATTGTATGTCGACGCTGGGTATGACTTTTCATATGTAGCAATAAGTTTGAAAGTTCTTGGGATGTTTGTTCGTCTTCACACGCATAACTATATATATACACTAGTCTACACACATTTTGTATATTTGGCCACTTGTAATATTTATCTTTCAAATTCTGCAAATTGTGAAAGCTTTGTCATTTTTAATTGTTGGACAGAAACAACCATCCCTCGAACTCGAAACATCATGATAGATACGTTTGCTCCATTGTTATTGGTATCCAAGACTGATAAAAGTTAGACCGGTCAAAATTATAACAACGATCAGTTTCAAGCACTATCATCTTAAGTCCCATCGCTCACTAGAGCTTTGTAGTTGACCTAACATCGACGAAACAAACCGAAAATCATCGTTGTTGTCCATCACTAACAATAAAGATATACCTAAATAAACACGCCGGATATATATGTTAAGAAATTTTAACAAAAACCCCAAAATCAAACCAACTCTTTGTGCCATTTTATTTAGTAAAACAAAGATGTAATAGTCTATAGACTAGTGTGATTTAAAAATATAGGTTTGTTAGTCAAAGTTAGAGAAAAAATGAATGTGATACAAAAAAATATAACCAAATTTTAGAAGAGTTGTGCAAAGAAATTTGATTAAAAACAATTTTAGACGTTTGATAAAGATTTAAATCCACCGTATTGATATATCATATATTAACTAGTCAAGAAGTTGATGAAGAACTTGGGACATTTTTGGTGGTTCATAAATATTTTCCCATAGTAACGAGTCAAATAAGTTGGAAACGAAACTAGTACTAAGTGAGTACGACGTAGTAACGCGCGAGCGGTAAGAGAGAAAGAGGACAAAAATGTAGCGTGTGGCGTAAGATTCGATCCCCGAGGAAGCTGGAACAGAACTACATACAAAACTTGGTTTCTCTTGTCTTTAACGTCGACTTCTGTAAACTCTGTTATCCTCTCACTCATGGTCCACTTTTCTTATCTTCATCAACCCATGTTTTATTTTGACTTTTAGCGAAAATAATACAAACCCTTTCTTAGCGAAATAAGTGTTTTGGCTGTGACGACAACTAGGTGTTCGACGAAATGCCTAAGTGAGAGATATATCAACTTTTTATCAATTGTGTGTGTAACTCTGTTTCTTGATTCACCAAAGCGAGAGGACAGATATTCAGACACCATCTCCTCCGACTCTACCGATCAACAAATAGATCGGAAACCTAACAGCTTTCTTCTCTTTCCCATCTTCCTTCCACGAGCCAGCAAACTCTCCTTCCATCTCCGCCGTCAAAAGCTCCAAACCCTTCTCCTTAGCCGTCTGGTACGCCGAAGTTGACCTCAGGTACGTCAGGTAATCTTCAATCCCCATTTCTCTCTCCGTCACGAACCTGACCGGGAAACTTTGACTCTCCGTTGACTCATCCATGATCTTCTCGAACGGAAACTCAATTCCTCTGTACCCATCCTCCACGAGCCGCCTCGCTTTATCCCAATACGGTCCAAGCCTCTCCTCGTAAAACCGCCGGAAAACCTCGTCGACGACGGCGTTAACCTCCGGATTGGTGTAGCACCAGGCGGCGATTACTCCGTTGGGTTTCTTGAGCACGTGTTTTACGTTGCTGTAAAAGGTCGTGAGTTCGAACCAGTGAAGGGCTTGAGCGACGGTGACTAGATCGACCGATGATTCCGGCGCCACCAGATGCTCGATCTCCGACGAAGACATCGTCGGTGGAGTGAGCTCGTAACGGACGTTGGGAAGCTTTGCAGCAAATTCAAGTTGCTTGGAGCTCGTGTCGGTTGCAATCACGTTCTTGTAGATTCCAGCAAGCTGAAACATACAAAAATCAGCAAAATAAAAATATAAAAAAAATCAGCTCTATAGAAATCATAAATCGAAATCGAATAATTTGCAAGAAATCGAAATTGACGATCCCAACATCTTAAACAAAAAACAATATTTAAGAGATAATTGACCAATCCACGCAGGAATTTGCAAAATCTTGAATCAAAAATTCAAGATGAACAAGAAAATTGAAGTATATATGGCGATTAATTTATAGAAAAATTGTTACCGATCGTGAGGCTTGGCCACTTCCGGCACCGACGTCCCAGGCGAGGTCGTGGCACGGTGTTTTCGAGGCGATGAATTCGAAGAGTTTGATCGGGTAATTGGGTCGGGCTGCCGCGTATTGCTCCGCTTGCTTTATGAATAACTTTGCCATTTCAATACACAAAAACCTTAACTTGAGTTTTGATAATGAATCCGATGGATCTATTATTATGTAGTAGAAGGGTTCGAGAGAAACGTTTCAAACTTGAATTCATCAGACAAATGCTTGCTTAAGGAATCTATGATCTAAGATAGTGAAAGGCGCCCACTAGGTCCCATTGTTTGTATTGGGATTTATTGACTATGAGATTCATTAGCCCAAGTAGAATTAACAAGTCACCCGGGCCTTTTTCAAAAGTAAGCCAATATGGTTATTATATAGTTTGAAAAAGATAGGGTTATTATCTTTCTTCTTGTAATCCAAGATAAGAAATAGAGAGAATGTGGATTATAGGAAGAGAGAAGAGAAGGAGAGCTTGGTACTTTGTGGTATAAACACATCGATTAAATACCTATAATATGCAGTTAATAATAATTAATAAACTTTATAAAAGACTTACTAACAATAAATAAATATATCATTATCATTTGTGTTATTAATAATGTTTTTTTATTATTATTATCATCGTATATTTGATAGTGAAATACATAAAATCGACGAAGATAGAGGGTGCTTATTATAAGCTATAATGTGGAGAGCATATATATGCATCACTTATTTCTCCCTATATACAACACCACGTATAAAGCAAGACTGAGAACCATGCATGAAATCGACAATCGCATTATACTGTTCCGTTGACAAATGGACCGGTGACATAGTTAGCGACAACTAAGAAACTCGTGATGAAGACGTTGACCAGATTAACTGTGGCTGTGAGGGTGCCGTCCGGTACATAAAGATTGCAGTTTCCCGCCGGAAGATTTGCTGTCACAAAGCAGGAACTTGGATCATACAAAAGCGTGTCACTGATTTTAAGGACAATGACGAATACACCTGTCGGATCGGTCAGTGCTTGAGCGAGGTTTGTCGTTTGGTTGGCACACACGAAGTTGACTACGGAACCGGAGACGGGAGGAGCGTTAGGATCTCCGTTAAGGCTACACTTTACGACACCACGAATGTTAATTTCGCCGATTTGGAAGTTTAAGATTGATAAGCTATGGGATACGCGAATGAGCGAAGCCATGATCAGAAACATGGAGAGGAGAAAAACATTTGATTTCAACATTTTTCTTTCTTGTCCGTATTTTTGATTTGGTTTAGAGAATGCTTTTAAAGGTGGTGCGTTGGTAAATAAAACATAAGGAGAGAAGAGGTATTTATAATATATGGGTATCAATGTAATATCTAATTAACCAAAGTCACATTCACATATGAACAGAACATTTATCATCCCTTGTAAGAAAAAAGTATTTTTCATGATGTTAATATATATGTTTGTGTTTATTGCTTGCACGAGGAGATGATGTGAGTAACTAAATGAAATTTGATTGCATTAATAATCCCTAAGGAACATTTTTAGAAGAGTTTTTACTAGAAACAAGAAATGGTGTAGTAGGTATTTTTAAGGGTTACGAAGTAACCGTTAGTTTTAATTAGGCGATGTGAATGACTTCAAACGTACACGCGAAGGAAGCTGAAATGATGTGGAGCTTAAATTATATTCCGTTCTTATCAGTGCAATACATGAATTCTTTTTTGAATCAGTTTGATTTTGTTTTGGTTACTAACCTTATAAAACCCGAACTGAATATACGTGTTGATTAAGAAGGGGCAAATGCCTATTTATGTTAGATCGTCAGTAAACGTAGCTGAAACTAGTTTGCGTTTTAACTGAGGATGCATGAGCTCAAAGATTAAGAAATGTGGAGAAAAATTCAAGATATATAATCGTTTCTTTTTCTTTCACATATTTTAGATTTTGCTCTCGATTTTAAAAACGGCTAGCTGAAATACGGTGATAGTTTTGGAACTAAAAAAAATTAATATGTGCTATTTTACAGAACTGTCATATAATAAATTCAATTGGCCATTCCTCAGAGCATGAAAAACATTGGAGATTTACTCTTTCTTTTTTTTTAATCTCAGTTGGAGATTACTTTTCGTTTTCTTGCCACATTTTGTAAGTAACATAGAAATATCAGTAGGTAGGTTAACTAAGGGGGATGTGCTTAGAAGCTATTGTGGAGCTAGCAAAGGGAATGAAAAGCCTCCAATGAAAAAAGGAGATAAAAATATCTATTTATTTTAGAAGAGTTTTCTCATATTATAAATTGTAGTTAATGTGAATGTGTTCTAGTGAAACAAGAAAATATGATATAGTGTAAACCCTTTCGCAAACACAAAAATGTGGTGTAGTAGTAGTGTACGTCCGGATATCAGATATAAGGGTTACAAAGTCATCGTCAATTTAAATGTTATGACATCAATGTGCCTTGATATATATTAATTGAGGCTGTGAAGATTTTGTCCGGTGGATAGATTTCGCACGTGCTAGCCGGAAGGTTAACTATGACACCGCAAATATCGGGCCGAAACAAAAGCGACTGGATGGAGCCTAGCACGAAGTTAAACGCACCGGTCGAGTTGGTCACTGCTGAAGCCAGTGGTGTGCTTGAGCCGGCACGTACTAAGAGGACATTGGAGACAGGTGGTGCGTTCCGATCTCCGGTAAGGCTACGTGTCAAGTCACCACGAATGTTGACTTTGGTATTAAAAGTTGATGTTTAGAAATAAAGTGATCACGCTTCATAAAAAAAAGATGTTACTCCGGATACATCATGGACTGCATCTCAACTTAATTTTGAAGTCTGTGAATTGGTATTTGGCAGTGGGACAAGAAAAAGCCAACGTTGGGAGTACGCAATATTGTATTTGTAGTAGACAATTGTTATATACTATTCTTTATATTTCATAAAAAAGTGTTATTCTTACACTTCCCTCACATATAAAAAAAGAAGTAAATCTTCATTGTGCGTTAAATTTTACCCGTACATTAAATAAGTTTGTTTCTCTAATTAATAAGTTTAAATAATAGAGATACAATTAAATTTTGTATTGAAAATGTAAAAAGACACCTTTTGTGATACAAAAATAATATTCTAAAATAACAATATTCGTGAAACTGAATGACTATAAATTTTCACATCACATGCATGATGATATCGCATATTCCTTTCAGGAAAAAAGTAGTTTTACGTTGTTTTCACTTTTCACCTTTTTCTTTGGTTTGGAATACTTGAAAAAAGGTGGTGTGTGGCAAAGAAAACATAAGAGAATGGTAGGCGAGATTGTTATAGATGAGTGTTATTTGTTACGTTATGTTTATTCTACTAAAGTCACTCACATTCACATATGTATATTTATTTTCCCTTGCAAGAAAGTATTTCTTGATATTAATGTATTTTGTGTCCATGCCTTACACGAGTGTATTGTGTTTAGTAACGAAATGAACTTTGGTTGCATTAAAAAGCAACTAAGGACAAGGACATGGGAAGTCATTGTTAGTTTTTATTTTGGTAAACAAGTTACCGTTTAGTTTTAATTAGGGGATGCGAATAATTTCAAACATAGACGCGAATAGTCACAAATGGTGTGGAGCTTATTATCATTCGGTTCTTATCCAAACATGTTTTATCTTAATTGATTTTGTTTTAGTTAGTGACCTTATAAAATAGAATAATCCGCATCAAAACCGAACTTTATAAATCTGTTGATTGACAGAGGACAATGGCCAATTTATGATAGCCTTGTTAGTTGATCAACTGAGGATTGAGAAAAATTATAAGGAGAATGGATTCTTTTCTTTGACCTTTTTTGACATTTTGCTCTCCGTATTGAAATCGACTAGGGTTATAATACAATAGCTATAATGGGCTTTTGTGGACTCAGCTCGGCCTAATATAATAAATTCAATCGGCCCATACTTCAGAGCATGACAAATATTGGAGATTACTCTTTTTTTTTTCCCCCGAATTGAAGATTACTTTAGCATCAGTGTAGGTAGGTGGTAAATTATTTACTAATGCTAAAATGGTGAAAAAAGTCTTTGAAGATTACAGTCATAATACTTTTAACTGATACTAGAACTTTAGAATAATGAAATTCCCAAAAATGGGAGATCTGGAAATTGGTGAAAAAAGTCTTTGAAAGTGACAACCAAAGTTAATGGTAAATCCGAATTAAATCATGTCGATTTTCATTTGTCGGGCCATTATTATTTTACCTTTCTTTGGCCCCTCGATTAAAAATTAATAATTATCGCCAACTTGTTTCACCATGACTCATTTATTTGATTTTACCTATCGAAATTTTTTTTCCGAGTCATGTCCACAAATTCAAGTTATTCAACACCCATATATTTAGCCTATAATATTAAAGAAGAATGCTTATGATTGATTTTTTTTTTTTACATGGTAATTGTTTTTTACTTCAATGAAAGTATGTTTTAATTGTTTTGGGCTAAATGACTTATTTCAGTTAGTAAACAATTTGTTGATTACATATACTGTACAATGTCCTTAAATTAATACTAAACTTCTTCGTTTTGATATCTAACAGTTCGAACTCTCTTTGAATATTGTTTGGCCTTTATGTAGTTTTTTTTTTTGGCATTTGTGTAGTTTTTCTTTTCTTAGACCATTGTTTCATTTAAAAAGCATAGACCATTGTTTCATTTAAAAAGCATAGTAAGCTAGAAGAATGTCTTTGCATATATTAGTATGAAGATCGAAAAAAAACTGTTACGGAGAAATCAATCACACAAGTACGTGTTTCTTGTTATGATTTCCAATCAGACAAGTATATGTCTTGTCAAACAAAGAAGTTGAAGATACGAAAGAAAAAGAAATAACTAAAAAGAAGTTGACAATAAAAAAAAATACTAATAATGAAAATATTGAGATGTTCCATTAGAGCATTTAATTAGTTTTACCGTAGGATTTTTAGTCGAAACCAAATCTTGTTTTAATGCAATGCACAGTGTAAATGATAAAACAAATAAATACTACTAGTTAAGTAATAATGATATTTAAGATGATGAAAAGACATAAAAGCCCCTGAGAACAGATATGATAGAGAAGAACAAAGCCCAATGGTCA